CTCAAGTTCACTAGTTGTGCTACACTGTGGGGCCGTGAGACTGCTTACTCGGATGACATCCGCAGCATATTCATCAGACTATTTTGCTGTTTATTGCAGACGAGGATATTCTTCGACTCAAAAACCATCACCGGAATGTTATCGCAAGCTAACTTTCTCGGCACGAGACCTCACTGTGGGTGACGTCTGGGGGTTCGAATCCCACCGACCCCACTTTCCAGCCGGCCTTCCTTATCGGGACGCCGTGCCAACCGCTCAGTAGCAAAACATGCGGCCCGGAACCTTGATGTCTTCATCCCATCTTCATCAACTCATCGCACCGTCACTCATCAATTGGAAGCGCGCTCTATCAATTCAGGCTTGATGATAAGAAACATTGAGTCCCTGACTGATACTCACACTTCGTGGACGATTTGAGAACCACCCAAGATGGCTCGTCTCGCGGCGTTGGCCATCACGGGCCTCACGCTCATCGCGCGCCTCACCGGAGCCGTCGCGACGCAGGCCGACATTGAAAACCCCGAGTTCATGACGTTCTCCGTCCCCGAGCACCCCAACCATGCCATTCGGATCAAGGAGCAGAGCGACGAGATCTGCGCCGCTGGGTCGCGGCAGTGGACCGGCTGGTTGGACACCGGCGGCAAACACCTCTTCTTCTGTGAGCCACACACTCCTCACGCTCATCGCATTTGCTGACCGAGATGAAAGGGTACTTTGAAAGTCTCAACGACCCCGAAAACGATCCCCTCAGCCTCTGGATGACAGGCGGCCCCGGTGGCAGCGGCCTCGTCGGTAAGTCCCAATCCTCATCCGTAACAAAGTCTCACGAAACTGATGCCAACCCCAGGAATGATGCTCGAACTCGGCCCCTGCCTCATCTCCCCCTCCGGCAACTCCACCGTTCACAACCGCTACGCCTGGAACGCCAACTCGTCCATGATCTTCATCGACCAGCCCGCCGGCACGGGCCTCTCCTACCACGACCCCGGCGTCCCGGGCCCCGCCACCTCCGCCGCCGCCGCCGCCGACATGAACGTCTTCCTGCGCATCTTCTACACCGCCTTCCCGCGCCTGCGCGCCCTGCCCTTCCACATCGTCGGCGAGTCCTACGGCGGGCACTACATCCCCACCCTCGCGGCCGAGATCGTGCGCTACAACACCGAATCCCCGGCGCCGGATTTCAAGATCCCGCTGAAGAGCGCCATGATCGGCAACGGGTTCGTGAGTCCGCGGGATACGACGTGGGGGTACTACGAGACGCTGTGCACGACGAAGCCGGGCGTGCCGGCGCCCGTGTTCAACGAGAGCTTATGCGGGCAGATGGCGGCGGCGCTGCCGCGGTGCATGTACCTCCAGGAGGCGTGTTATGCGTTCCCGGACCCGATTGTGTGCGAGGCCGCGGGGGCGTTTTGCTTTGGGCACGTGGACGAGCTGTATTACCGCGACGTGCGCAAGGGCGGGCGGAATCCGTTCGACATCACGGCGCCGTGCGAGACGGAGAGTATATGCTACAAGGCGGGCGACGGGATCGAGGAGTATGTGAAGAGTGATAAGGTGTGGCGGGCGCTGGAGGTGCCTGCGGCGGTGGACCGGGAGAATTTCACCCTGATTTCGATGGAGGTGAACCACGCGTTCGAGGTGGCCGGGGACGTGTTTTTGAGCACGGAGAGGGAGGTGAAGTATATCCTGGAGAAGGGGGTGGATGTGCTGATTTATAATGGAGATTTGGATCTGGCGTGTAACACGGCGGGCAACATCCGGTGGGCGGAGAAGTTGGCGTGGGATGGGCAGGTTGAGTTTGGGGCGAAGGAGTTTGGGGTGTGGTTTGCGGAGAAGGGGGGCGGGGTCGTGAGGGCGGGGAGATGGAAGGAGGTTGTGAAGAGGCTTGGGGGCAAGGACACAAGGTTCGCGTTTGTGACGGTGGAGGGGAGCGGGCATATGGTGCCGTTGGATCAACCTGAGGTCGGTTTGGAGATGGTGAGGAAGTGGATGTTTGGCAGCTTTGAGGAGGCGGCGAAGGGGAGTGTTGAAGTGAAGGTTGGTGGGCAGGGAAGGGAGGAGCAGTGGTCTCTGGAGTTGTGAGGGGATCGACGCGCTGTCAGTCTGAGACCGGAAGTTGACGATGTGGAGATGATGGATGGGTTTGTTAATGGCTCAGATGGCCCAGAATGCATCATGACCCATGACACCTGACGTTAATCGAAAAGCAAGCTCTCATGAGCAAACAACTCTGGTGCAATTCATCAGATCGGTTTATGGAAACAGACTGAACGTCAAATGTTTATGCCTTGACTGCGCGTGGACGTGATTTATGATGCCTCTTGAACCAAAATAACATTTAATTTAGGATATTCTGGTGACTGTTACCACCAATGTCAGGACATATGTGGAAGCGATTGAAAGCAGGAATGAAAACATCTCAGTCGATTCAGATACTCAGATCAAGATCCGACAGCCTTTGGTGTCACCTGAGGCTACGATGGTTCTCAGAAATGTTCCAGCGAAGTTGACATCCGTCATGTATATGTCATCTCGATAGCTATCCAAAATTGCTATGATTGAGCATCACCGTTTGGAAGGTTGGTTCAACGCATGACTGTCAGCCTTGCACGGGCGATTTGTACATCCATTGGCTCGAAGGGCCAAGACGTCTTACATGTTGGTCCTCTGCATGTCATCATCAGATGTGGAAGGTATCTACCGATGATTTGAGTTGCGACGGCAGCATTGGGGCAACGGTTAATGATCCTCCACTTGTGAGAATTCGGCATATCAGATGCGCGCCATATGTCGACCCGGAAAACGACTTGAACGGGGCCGCCCGAGGTCCGGGGGAAAGGGTGTGGTGATTGGCCTTGATACGGTGATTGTCGGGTTGCAAAAGTACTCCGCCGACGTAAGAGTGGCATCGTCGATATTGCCAACTCATTGCTGGCTTGTTGGTCCACCTCAGTGGAGGTTCGGATCTTGGCTGAGAGTCCTGGTGGGCCAGTCCTGATCCTAGAAGATACGGCTGCTGAAGAGACTCCAGGATAATGAGGGTTCTTATCAATCAGTCAGTGGACAATGGAATCGTCGAGGTCGGTTCAAATTGCAGTGCAAATGCAGCCCAGCCCAGGATAGGGTGGCTTGACTTGATGGATCATGGCTGAGCTGACGGAAGAAGTCCGACGGCAGCTTCTCAAGCAAGCGGAATTGAATTCGACAGTCGGTCAGCCGTTGCCAAGACACGAGGGAAAGAGGGAAACAGCGTTGGTCTCGAAGGATTTGGAAGGAGCGAAATCCCTGTCGCTTTAGCGTCTTCAGCCGACCCACTCATCATTGTTCGAGACCCACTTCCACGAGCTGGGGTGCACGGGCGCCTTGAGCAGTGAACGAACGGCAGGCACAGGACACTTTTGGGGCAGTTGCCGCTTGAGAGATGGGCAGGATGGATGAGACGGGAGTGCTTGAACCGGGCATCTTCTGGAAGCTTCAACTTCACCCATCGCTTAATCAAGGCAGACGCCGATAGCAACAACAGGAACGGACGGACGACATGATTGAGATCGAAGCCACGCCATCGACCAAACATTTTTTCCCGTTCATCTCGTCATCAAGGATGAGCCATGCCATGCCATGCATGCCCTTGGGTCACAACCTCCACCGCGGGCATCCTCCCAGCTGGACATCTCAAAGTCAATTGGACGCGCCGCCGCTCACGTTACACGAGCCACGAGGTGGCGCCCGCGTCTGGATGCCGTCAGATGAGACTGCGGTCCGCGGATGTCCTTTCAGGTCCAGTGCTGGTTCCGACGTCGTGGGAGCAGCGTCGTAGGGCTAAGGAAGAAACTCTCGACCCCCAAAAGCGTCGCCTTTGACCATTGCAACTGGCCAAAAGTCTACAGAGTTTGACTCTGCATACAGAAGTCGGACCTATCAAGCTCGCAAACATCAAGACCAACTTGTACGCCCTCGCGCAGGCGCTTCAACGACCTGTTATCCCCCCATCCACCCAGTCACCACCGTCCGTGGAACCTTCGCCGCTGTCATGCATCCCAGCGAATCCTTCGACCGTCCCTCTCTATCATTCAGCCCTGTCGAGATGCGTCTGTCGCTCTCAGTGTCAATCTGGCCATGTTGCCCAAATCAATGGACTACGGAGTCAGAGGTATCTTTGTAGGTCAGTTCCGAATTATGAAGATGAGCTCTGCTGTCTCTTCATTGCAACCCGCAAGGATCAAGGCTCTTGCGTCCCAGCACCCCAACCTGATAAGGCCAAGGCTTGAGCTCACCACCAGCAGCACGCGAAGTTGAGGGAACACGAGAGACTGCATGGTTCATTGCAACACAACCAGAACCATTCAGACGGCTTGAACTCCCACCCTCGTCAATTCCATGCTCTCTCTCCAGGGCCCATACCCACAGTCCGGGGATAATTTCTGCGTGCCTTCTTCCACCCAACAGACCCCATAGAGCTCCCAACCCCTGTTGCCCTGCGGTTCTGGACCCCTTTTTGGCGCCGACCCTCCGATGCTGCCCTGGGATTCTGCCGGTTCTTCTTTCGCGCCATCTGCTGTGCAAAGAGCAGAAGCATTTCCCCCGAAGACCCATCAAGTCTATCGGCATTGGAGAGAAGCGAGAATTGGCCTGGATTCCTCGCAGTCAATCCCCGCTTGCTTTTCCCTTCTCAAAGATCCTCCATCCTTCGCTTCCACTTTCAATCTCCCAGAGTTCATCCCAAAACCAGCAAAAAGCTGCTGCCTGCCAACGAGTGGACGTGATCCTCCCGACATCGTCTCAAGACATACCACGGCGTCGGTTCCGAACAGCACCTAGTGGCACGGCTCCGCAGCCATCGGCGCGCTTCGAGACCCCAAGTCGCATACAGGACTAGACTCCTGTGTGCAGACCGTCTTGTCCTAGCTCCTCGACTACCCCGTCTCGCGTATCGGGTCCCGTCTGTTGTGTTGCACTTCTCTGGTCCCTGACCCCGCGATCCTACACGGTCGCCGCCCGCCATGGCGGCCACCGCGACATCGTCCTCATCGTCGACGGCAACGAGTACCTACAGCAGTGTTGTCGTCACAAGTTTCCCCTTCAACCCACTGACTACTCAATTCGTGGCGCCGACGTATTGCAGTGGCATTTACAATGGGGCCGTCTACATGGTTGACCCCCAAGAGAACTGTCTGCCCACGAGCCATTCGAAAGACGAGACAGCATACTACTCGCCAGGATATGTCTGTCCTGAAGGCTACATGACAGCCAGAGTCGACAACAAGGGCGTTCACAGCATCACGACAGTCACTTGCTGTCCTTATCGCAGCGATATCATCCTCTCGGCGGTCGACCCTGCCACTCTTTCTGGCCAGTGGATTGGGCTCTTCTGCACATGGATTGCGCCGGAGGGCACGCGCATCGACATCGTGCACACCGCCGATACGAGCACGTGGATTGAGCAAGAGTATGTCACATCCCCGGGCGGTGTCAACGCCTTCGGCGTCCGCATGGTCTACCAGTCGACCGACGTGGCTTCAGCGACAGTGACAGCTACGGTCTCCCCTACGAGCACTGGCAACGTCACTGCACCTCAAGAAACCTCATCGCCGGGACTATCCACCGGGGCATCCATTGCTATCGCGGCTGTCGTCCCGGTTGTCGTTCTAGGCCTGATTGCTGGCGCCCTGTTCTGGTGGTGGAGGAAACGCCAGGCGTCCAAGTACAACCACGTAAACGGCAGCGGAACGCCTCAGGGCGCAAATGGATTGCCACCCGCAAACCCCATGCAGCAGCAAGTCCACGAGGCACCGTCAGTGCAGCAGTACCAGGACCCAAACGCGTATCAACCGCACCATCATCCGCCTATGCAGACGATGCCCTCCACACAGTCCTTCCCTTCGACATACCCGTCATCAACAGCGGCACCATCTAATCAATCGCCCACCGTCCCATTCTCTCAGCAGTATGGCCACAATGGGACGTACACCAGCTACGCGGGATACAAGCCTCCGGGGGCGACGGAGGAAAACACATCACCGGGGCAGACGTTCACATCGGAGCTCCCAGCTCCCGTGCCGAGGGAACTCCCGGAAGACCGACCGAATCACACGCCATCGGGACAACACATTGACCACCAGAAGATGATGGGTATACCCAAGTGAAGGAGACTGCAGCGGTGGCTGGTTTAAGCATTTGGCGGAGTACTCGGCATTTTTTCTGCGGGACGGCGCGGCGTTGGGGCGTCGTGTCTATCCATCTTACCAAGACCGATCCAGGCACATGTTTTCCACATTTACACAGCGTTGCGCGCAATGCTTATCACAGTAGCATCCGAGGCAAACACGCCGAATTGAACGACTAATAATCAGACATACTCTCTTCAAAACCCACTCTGTGTGCAGTCCTTCAGTCGCCGCGTTCGAGACGGCTGGCAGGCGACGAAAACCCGTTTGGATGATCTGCCGCGATGCCGCCTATCCGTCTCACCATCAGCACCAAAATACTTGCGCCTTGCTGGGCTGGCAAGGGATGTGGCTGAGCCATGGAAAGCTTAGCTTGTTCGACGCAAATGTATCGGCTACTTAAGTGCTGACACCTCGTCAAGCCACCCAGCTCGTAGCGAGGACTTGATTGACCACAAACGAAAGTAGCTGGGGCTTTCTGGGCTCTCAGCTAGCCATTTCGACACTAGATTGCACTTCTGGTGGCCAAAGGAGCTAAGTCATTGTCAGTATTCACAGAACAACCTGACGAAGGATTCGCGAATGCTGGGCTGCGGCGGCCATGGTCCTTGGTCCCATCCATTCTTAGCGTCGTGCTTCCTTAGTGTACGGATGTCCCTTTGGCGTCTGCCTACGAGCGGATCCTCTCAAGCATGGGATCGTCATTGGACTTCTGAGCCAGTGTGAGTGGCTGGCCAGGACGGCGGGAGTGAGAGCAGAGAGAGCAAGACTAGTTCGAGCGAAGGATTCGTCAAAACTAGTTTGACTCCTAATAGCCCTGTTCTCCTGTTCAACCTAAGCTTCTTCCTTTCTCCTTCTTTTTCCTCTTGTTTTCTGCTTCTGCGCGTAACACGAGACCATACCCACTTGCTGTCACTTTGCGAATTGCAATCGCTTTCATGTTATCAACGCATTAGAATCCACAAAACAGCCTCATCACATTCACTCGAGGACCCATACACGGCACAGGGATTCCCCATACGAAGCTCCCAAAGTCCTTTCGATCGGGCAAACCGTCCCCAATCCCACTCCTGGGCACCATTGCGACAGAATCATCACACAATGGCGGCGGCAACATCAACCTCGAAAACGCGCTACGTCGCCTCAACCTTCCCCGAAAACCCCCTTCCGACGCAGAACTTTGACCCGCCGTCCTCCTGCTCCGGCGTGTACTGGACAAACTCCGTCTTCGCCATCGACAACGACCCGGCCTGCTTGCCGAACAAGTTCAACGGCGCCAGCACCGCCTTCTACTCCCCTGGCACCGCCTGTCCGACGGGCTACACCGCGCAGCCGCAGTGCTCTCGGAACAACGGCGTGCGCAGCATCACGACCGTGACGTGCTGCCCGCACCGCGGCGACATCACGCTGTCATGCGTGGAGAACGACCTGACCCTGGCGGAGAGGTGGGAGACGCAGTTCTGCACGTGGATGGCGGGCCCAGCGACGGTGGTGGAGTATACGCTGGTCTCCGGGGGCAGCACGTCGAGCGCGGCGGCGACGATGAGTGATAGAGACGGCATCAACGCGTACGGCATCCGGATGGTGTACCAGGCCAGCGATCTAGTCTCAAACACCGCATCGGCGACGGCCACGGGCACCGACAGTGGGGCTGGGACAACGAGTACCGGCGACAGCGGCGGCAGCAGCAGCGACTCCTCTACGAGTGACGGGCTTTCGACGGGGGGCATCGTCGCCGTGGCGGTCGTCGTTCCGGTCGTTGTCATCGCGATACTTGCAGGTCTGTTCCTGTGCTGGAGGAGGCGGAAGCACAAGTATGCGGGCGTGCAGCAGACGCAGCCTGGGTCAGACGGGCAGACGCCGCCTCAGCAGAGCGCGTACGCGTACCAGAACAGCAACTACCAGGGCAGCAGCTACGCGCCGAGCGAGATGGCTGGAGGGAGCGTCGCGGGGTATTACCAGAACGACAAGGTGCTGCAACCGGGGCAGGGAGTCGCGGGGCAGCAGTTTAAGGGGTACCCGCACCAGACGCCGGCTGCGCCTGCTGAGTTGCCGGTGGGAGAGGCGCCGGCGGAGTTGGATGCTAGCGGAGGTAATGGGAGGTAGTTGGAAAAGGAGTTCTGATGAGAAAGGGAGTTTCGAGACGGATATATCATGGTTCTTTGTGTTGGGGGACTTTTCAGACAGCATTCAGACGGGCATGTAGGTGACTAGCGGGAGTTGAAGAGGGTGATTGGGCTTACGCTTTATAACTTCTTCGTATATGAGCCACCCAGTACAGATATTTAAATGACATGACCAATTATGATAAAAGAAATAATACTCGTTCAATTTATATTGAGACGCGAATTTCGAAGAGTTGAACTAGAAGCTCAAATCAGCGCATCATCGTCGCTGTGGCCTTGGGATAGTCGAACGATAAGCCAGACTAGGAACTCACCGAAAACGCAAAAAGTTTCGATGTCGAGGTGAGAAGTTGAAAGAATGATAGCCTGAAAGTACGCATCGGACAATCACACCGACCAAGCTCCGGGGCGCCGACGTCCGGGGCTGCATCTTCCCGAACGATGCCCCCAGCGTCACCGGGCCCACACCGCCTGCGCTTCCTGGACAAATTTTACCCCGCCACCCCGCCATCCAAGCTGCAAAAAAATTCACCTCTGCGTTGCTGCCGACCCTGCTTATCAAGCACGCAGAACTTCCTCGACGCATTAATAAACCACGTCCTCTGGTTCCTGCGCCTCTTTTTAATATCCAGATACCCAGCGCGACTGACAGTCTACTTCTGACAGTCGACGAGCGCATTCCATTCTTCAGCGCAATCCCATCGAAAGAACCCAACCCAGAGCAAACCGACCGAAAGAAAAGCCCAAAATGTCCGCCCACAACGACGACCACGAGGAGCCCGAGATGCTCGGCGCTGACGAGGTCGGTGAGGAGGTCAACATCGACAATGACGACGTCGCCATGGACTCGGACGACGACAACGAGGAAATAACCCTCCACAACGACTCTGTCGCCTACTTCGACGCTCACAAGGACTCCGTCTTCACCATTGCCCAGCACCCCATCCACCCGACCATCATCGCGACCGGCGGCTCTGAAGGCGACTCCGACGACGCCCCCGGCAAGGGCTACCTCCTCTCCACCGCCGCCGCCGCCTCGCGCCCCGTCCTCCCCGCCTCCTTCTCCGGCGAGACCCCGCAGCAGAGCACCAGCCTCGACGCAATCTACCCGATCGACGGCCACACGGACAGCATCAACGCGATCGCCTTCACCCTCCCCAAGGGCGACTTCCTCGTCAGCGGCGGCATGGACGGCAAGCTGCGCGTGCACGCCGTGCGCGTCAACTCGCCCACCGCCGAGGCCGCGAGCGTGCAGATCAAGTTCATCGCCGAGGCGCAGGAGGTCCCCGAGATCAACTGGATCGCGCCCTGCCCGTCGCCGCAGTACCCCAACACCATCGCCCTCGGCGCCAGCGACAACTCCGTCTGGGTGTACACCATCGACATCGCGGCCGGCGGCGGCGACCCCGCCAACTGCCTGCAGCTCGTGCAGACGTACTGGCTGCACCAGGCCCCCTGCACCGCGGGCGCGTGGACCCCCGACGGCAGCCTGCTGTGCACCGTCGCCGAGGACTCGAGCTTGTACGTGTGGGACGTGTGGGGCGAGGCGGCGGCCAAGGGGCTGGTCGAGAGCAACGGGCAGACGACGGTGAGCATGACGGCGCAGGACCAGCGGTTCGAGGTCGAGGGCGGGCTCTACAGCGTGGCGGTGGACCCCAAGGGCGCGCTCGTGGCCGTCGGCGGCGCGGGGGGTGCGATCCGCATCGTCAGCCTGCCGCGGCTCGCGAGCAGCGCGCAGGCGGGCAAGGGCGGCAAGAGCAAGACGGCGGCGGACGTGGCGGCGGGCGGGCAGATCCTGGCGAGCCTGCAGACGGCGTCGGACGGCATCGAGACGCTGAGCTTCACGGTTGCGGCGGGCGGGCCGGGGCAGGCGTCGACGCTGCTTGCGGCGGGCTCGGTGGACGGCAGCATTGCGGTGTTTGATGCCGGCAGGAGGTTCGCTGTGAGGAGGAGCTTGCCTGGCGCGCACGAGGATTTCAGCGTCGTCAAGGTGGAGTTTGTCAAGAACTCGTGGCTGCTGACAAGTTGCGGCATGGATGGTGTTGTGAGGAGGTGGGATCTGAGGGCGGCGGATGCTGGGTTGGTGAAGGAGTGGAAGGGACACATGGGTGGTGGCGAGGGCGGAGGTGTGTTGGGATTCGTGCAGGGTGAGACCGGGGAGAGAGTCGTCACTGCTGGCGATGACGGTGTTGTTCTTGTTTTTGAGGCTTGAGAGAGTGTGTGTTTTAAGGGGAGGATTGAATATGGTTTCTTTATGAGGGGATAGACAAAATGGGGTGGTATAATACCGCGACATTGCGGGATGATTTGCTGGATCAGATAGGTCCTGATGAAATGAGATTTACGTTTTACTGACAAAGGAGATTGTGTCTTGAAAGGCTTTGTGTGAAAATCAAGGTGGTTTTGTGTGGAATGGTTGAGATTGGACAATGAGACATGGTCCGTTGAGTTCGTCTGATGGGGTGCGGGACTTAAAACGGACGATTTGCGACTTTGGCAGGATCTCATCGCCGGTCTTTGCCCTCATCATCCCTTGCAAAAATTTCGTCTTTCCACACGTCACTCAATAGAAGAACGGCATCGCATTGTCGGCCACCCGCGAACGACTGCCAAATGACCCAGTTTCAATGGGACCAGGTCCTCGGATTCGCCTTGATGGTCTGCGGGATCATCCAGTTTCCACGAGTCTGCTTGTGTCTAGCAGTATCTTGGTTATCCTGGAAGACCGTCGTCGTCTGTAGGTTTCTCGAATCACTGCGCCCGGCAGCGCGTGATCATGCATGAGATATTGACATTGGTGTTAGGGTATGCTGTGCTAGGCATTTACCCGTTCTTGGAGAACATTGCGGGACCGCTGACGCGGGCGTTACTGTTGGGCCCATGGAGGGCTGGGTAGAGTCTGCCGTGGTGAGTAACATGGTCACGAACAGTACGCATTTGCATGAGCTTGCGTACGAATGTCAGGCGCGCTCAATGAAAATAACGACTTCATACATCATAGCTTTGACTCTCCGTACGAATAATTATTAGAGATTGATTTGTTAGGCTTCATATCTCGTTAGACTACCTCATGTAGTCACCACTGTATCAACCGCTTCTTCAGCGGCAATCTTTTTAAGTGGTATGGTACCATCCTCTCTCCATCCATTCCTCGCTACTGAAACCACTCGATGTGTGCAGTCTTAGTTGGAGCGACCACCTTGGCCAACGTTGTCACCCTTGGCGAGACCCTGGCTCTGGCCTCCGCTGGCGTCCTTGCCGTCAATGGCAAGACCCTTCTCGATCTCAGGCATGGGGGCGGTCTTGTCGGCACGGTCGACGTGAGAATCCTAATACAACCTGTTAGTATTGAGATCCAAGGAAGGAAGCTGCACCAGGTGCGACGTACCTTGATGGCACCAGCGCCGTGGACGATGTCGTGGCCGGCCTCAACGGCGTTGTCAGAGGCACCAGATCCGTCGCGAGGCATGATATTTGATTTTTGGTGATGTATATGGACTTGTGGTAGGTGTAAGGTAGTTGCTTTGGGAAGCAGTTCGATGTTGTTCTTGAGGAAGATGTGAAGGGTCGTTATGGTTGAAGGATAGAAGGCACAATTGGAAGGGGGCTGAGGAAGCTATTTAAAAAGACCTTTTACCTCACCTCGAGCTCCCAGAGCTCTGATATCGAATTGACGTCACGCAGGGAAGGTGCAAGTGCCTCCCGGGTACCTGCCGCCGTAGAGCTCCCCCCTTGTTAACGTCATTGATGGTGGGGCAAGCCCCGCCACGGTCTCCGCCCCGCGATGTCAGATCGCAGATCTTAGGTGGGATGGCCCGGAGGAAACGCCCCGTGTCGCGTGGTCAGACTTGCTTGGCCACCCTCAATTGAGAAAGCAATGAGGTGGTTTGGTCACGAGATTGTCTATGTATGGGTCTAGAAACTCTTTGCAGCCTTATTTTCATTGTGTCGTTCCTGTTTTCCGACATAAAGGTTGTGGATTGACCTGCTTGGCGTCCGTGCTTGAGGGGCCGCTTGGATGATGACGACAGTGGATGGCGGCTTGCTTATTGGAATCGGAAACTGAAGCTTCTTGGAAACAAGTCACGATGCTTTACCTTGTTGCCTTGATGCGGTCTACATGTATCTCACAGTTGTCGTCTTCAAACGGCCATTGTCCAAACCCATTTAAGACGATGTCACGTCAACCAGGGAGCATACAATTGAGTTGCACAAAAACCCCATTACACAGCAATTCACAGCCCAATTTCAATTCTTGAAAAAAAAAGAATTAAAAAAAACAACGCCTTATTTGTACAATTACCCGAACCAGCCGGCCCCCAACTTCGATCCCGGCCATTCTGCCAAGCTATGGATGCAGTGCAACGAAAGCCAGGGTTAGAGATCAGCAGGACCCCCTCTTCTTGATTCTGACGAAAAAGTCCCGAGGCTTCACGAACCAGTAGTTGGTGCACTTCCAGTCGTCCTCCTTCTCCAGTATCACGTCAAAGTTCTGCACGACTCTAGGAATGGCCTTGGATACCTCCAGCAAGCTGATGTTCTTGCCGATGCAGGTGCGCGAACCCTGACCAAACTTGAGACGTTGTTAGCTTCGTGGTCAACTGCATTCCTTCTAACATCCACTTACGGCGAAGAAGTATGACTCCATGTCACTCTTTTGCTCCTTGCTTGAGTCGATCCATCGTTCCGGCCGGAAGTCGTCCGCATCATGGCCGAACACTTCCTTATTGTGATGTGCGATCCAGGCATTGATTCCCACTACATTCTGCGGAAGTGTTAGCATAACTGTCCCTTTTACGAATGTTAGTTACATCGATCACTCACTCCTGCAGGGAAGAAGCTTCCTGCTAGCTGTCTTCCACCCTCAGGTACCACACGAGGCATGGTGAGTCCGGTCGCAGGGTGCAACCTGAGACTCTCCTTGATGACGGCCTGAAGGTACGGCAATGCCTGTGCTTCTCTGAAAGTAATCGGGTCAGAGATTGACCCCTCCGCCTCGGCGTCGTCCAGTTCTTTCCGCAGCTTTTCCAATGTTCTCGGGTTCTTGCAAAGGTAGTACATGATACCGCTCAAGGAGATCGCGGTGGTATCCGATCCAGCGCCAATGTTGGTGGTTCCAGCTGTCAGGATGCACGCGTCATCGACGGTTTCGGGTCGCTCTCTCTGAGTCTGGACTAGTTTAGAAATGAAATCCTGGGGCCCGTCTTTAGGCTTTTCTTCCAACCGACTAGCTGCGACCTGATCGGTCGCAAACTTGACGAGGTATGCATTCCCCCGCGGTTCTCCGCCCGAGCCGAGGTACTTGAGGATGTTGAAGAAGAAGGGGAAAAGCCTCGGATAGACACCGACTGTGGTGCTGAACGTCAGGACTTCGTCTAGCGCCTTGATGACTCCCTGGGGATCTCCTCCGTCGTCCAGACACCCGAAGCGCTTGGAGAACTACACTTGGTCAGTACGACTCAATTATACCATGGCATGCCCGTCTCACAGTGATTTTGCCAATGACATCGAGGGCGTAGCACTGGAACCAGTGCCCGAGATCGATAACGCGGCCATTTTCTGAGAATTCGGTAAAGCGTTTGGCAAAGATGTCGGTGCACTCGTCGACGTAGGGCTCGTATGAGACCATGTTGGACATGGAGTAGACATTGGCAACTTGTCGACGCATGGCGGAGTGGACTTTCGGATTCAACTCGTTGAAGAGGTTGCCCAGGGCAGGATTTCCCCATGGAACGTACCACTCATTCTGTAGGGAGTCAATGTATATTAGCCCTGGGTGCAATTCGATTTCGTATGCTAGAAGAAGTTACCTTGGCAAAGTGGCTACCGTGTCCGTAGATGGTTTTGGCTGCGTCGAGACTGTCGATGCTATATTGTCCAGGGGCTATCCGCACGATGGGACCTGAAAATTCAATGCAATATTCAGTGTATATCCTTTGCATGGTTGGAAAAGGGTAGCGAGCATGCAGGAAAGCTAGGGGTCTAAATACCGTATTTCTCGTGCAACTTCCTGTCCGTCTTCTCGTAGTCGGCGCGGCAATACTGGCGGAACAACCACAGCCGAGTAAATCTCGCAAGGAACGGGCCCGGAATATGTCTCAGAGGATCTCGAACGGCAGAGATGATTCGATAAAATAAAAATGCAATCACTGCGAAAGGAATTGCCCACCACAATGGCGGCAGTGGCCTGCCCTCCAAGGCGTAAATTGGTAGAATCATGGTGTAAGGTTTGGTCCGAAAGTAAATGCAAGACTGCATGAACTGCCAGCCCAACAACAACGGCTGACAGAAGTCATTATATCTGCCATCCAAGCCTTGAGACCATGGTGACCGGGCAGATTCATTCGATAAGCTGGGGAGAGATCGTGGGGCAGATCTCGGCGTCGGCACTTACACATTTCCCTAACCCCCCGCCACCATCCCGATGGGGTGCCGCGAGCGCGGCGCGCGGGTTCCCCACCCCCACAACCTCTCCCGAAAGCCGCACCAGCATGATTCATTAACACACAGGTTGAGAAACATCGTGGCCTTGATTGGTGTGACAGGGTCATACTCTGCCTAATGACTGGATCGCATGCATGAAACAAGACACAGCGGCTCCCACCACGCAAAGCAACGGCCTGGTTGACCTCGGAGTCCGTCCCTTCTTGGCCGGCCGTCAATAACAATCAAGCATCGCGAAGCTAACCTCCACCACACCGGAAAGAATGATGATGATCGCCCGGGATGACGGGAACTAAGTGGGTCGTCCGACTGACTAGTGGCTTTGACCAGTTCCAACATCTGGCGTCAGAGACTGTTTGTCCCTTCTTCACCTCCACACGATCTTCCGAAACCGTTCACAACATGAACAGCGATTCTCGCGGCCTGCGCTGCAGGTATTGCGACGAGGCGTTCAGAAGGAAGGAGCATCTCGACCGCCATCTCCGACGTCATCTGGGTTCGAAACCGTTCCAATGTACGGTTTGCCTGAGAGCCTTCTCTCGAAAGTATGTCGCGTCTAGATTTCGTCGGGGCACGGCTGACTTGAATCTCTCAGGGACGTCCTCAATCGACATTTGACGACTCATGAACTGAATTCCGCGACCTGTTCATCACCAAGACGGCCTGGCAAGAAACCCCAAGCGTGTCTCTCATGTTCAAGGGCAAAACAACGGTGCTCCAAAGGCAACCCTTGTCGCTCATGCGCAAGCAAGGGAAGAATCTGCCGTTACCCGTCCGATGAGGGACCCTCCGATGGGGTAATAACCCCGGGCGGCCAGTCTGACGGCTCCGAGACACCGGCAGTTGACGCCGGGGATCAACGCACTTTGCCCAACGCGTCTTCCTGTGCTGCAACAGCTCCAATGCCGACAGACGCCGAATACGGACGCCTCGTAACGCTGAATGAACCTGGACCGAGCCTCAACGCCGACGTCATCCCGATGCCAAGCTATAGTGTTCGTACAACGGCAACTCCAGTGGGACAACCAATGAATGCGGTGTCTGAGTTTGCAACTTTGTCCGCTGCTATGGCAGCTATGCATCCCATCGAAACCGAAGGCACGCAAGCCTGGAACTCGGCTTTCGTCTCCTTCAACCAGCGTTTCCCCTGGTCGTTCACCGAAGATCTCTTCAACCACGAGCTTCCTGGATCTGTGCCATCGTCCGTTCTGAATAGCAACGGTGTATTTGCTCAAGCGGGAGCATCGGCCGCCTCCAGATATATTGATCCCGTCGATGGGCTCGGTCCTACCCCAGGGGGAAAGCCCTGTGCCTCTTGCGAAGATATCCCCTCCTTCCCATCACTGGAATTGTACGACGAGGACATTCTACTCGCAGAGGACTTTCGCCATGTCAGCAAAATCAACGGCCACGAAAGGCTGGCTCAGTTCTTTCAGGAACAGAGCCCGTCAGGAGAGCAAGTGTTCCCCGAAGCAAGAGTGATCCTTACCTTCGTCCAGCTCTACTATGAGCATTTTGACTTTCAATTTCCTTTTATCCATCCAGCGATGCTTGAGACTGGCGACGAGTCGTGGGTCTCTGTGCTTGCTGTTGCATCAATTGGCTCGCAGTACTCCTCCATCTCAAACTCCGAGCAGTACTCCAAAGGGCTCCAAGAACTTCTTGGTAGAGCCGTGGCCGCCTACGTAAGTTCACAACTCACACACAGTTGGCGTTCGTGCTAACCAGGCGTAGAAACCAGAACCACACCGAACCCCAAGTCTGCACATAGTCCAGGGCACGCTGATAAGCCTGGTTTGTCTACAGTTCTCGGGATCCCAACGGGGCTCCATGAGAGCACAGTGGCAAAGGAGCCAGTTGATATCCTTGTGTCGTTTCGTGGTAAGTTTCCAGCGTGGCGGGACCGACGGACTGGAACCCGCCCCAGACCACGAACAAGATTGGAGAGGTTGGCTTGCCGCCGAGTCGCGAGTTCGACTGGTCCATTGCCTTTATAGTCAGTAGACGCTCCACAAGTCGGACCCAGACGATCCATTCTCACTGTATTTTACAGAACTCGAGTGCCTTCAGCTTAGTTTCTTGAGCTTGCCGCCGATTTACAAGCTTCACGAACTCACCGATAGATTCCCTGCACATGAACTTGTCTGGAAATGCCGCGACGCTGAAAGATGGCGAGTAGAGAGTCGGTGCCCAGAAGGTAGTACTTTCATACCCAATCTCATGTAATACTTTACTAAGAAACCCGCAGTACGAGCAGCAGGCCGTATCGGACTAGATCTCTCAAATAAGCATGACGTAGTCACGCAAATGGGCTCTTTCGCCCGCCAAATGCATATGCTTAGCCTCTACACAGAAGAGAAGTTCCTACACTACCAGCTGTCGTCCCCGTTGTGGAAGACGCTGATGGCAGGAATGTCAAATCCCGTCGATACTCAGCCAAACATCAACACTTTGCTCAAAAACGCAGCAACATCCGTAGACGATGCTTTTGAATCGCTGAGAGGCATAGACAGTTCCAGATCGGAATCAACAGAGAGCGACGCATTACTCACGTACTATCACGTCCTGTCAATCCTGAGGCAGGTGCCGCTTCGGAAGCTGTACGAGTTCTCCGGGTGGCAGGTTACGGAGCCTCAAATCGATGCGGCGAGAGAATATCTCCAGAACTGGATGCGAAACAAGCCCTCGCATGCCCGGAAATGTCTCTGGCATGCGGCGGTGGTCTTCAAGACCCTTCGGAACAAGAAACACTTCTCGTGCGACAGCCCTTTTTGCATGTTGGTAGTCGCTCTTTACATCTGGGCTTTTGACCAGTTTGCGCAGCTCAAAGATGGCATGTCGTCTGGTGATGCTGCCAATTGTGCTGGAACGGATCGGCCAACAAGGGTTGATCTTCTGCAAGATGAAAAGGAAACAGAGGCGTGGCTAGAAAATGGAAGCTCAAGTGTTCACATCACGGGCGTAGGGGTCCTGAAGAGCACTAAGAGTGGTGCTCGGATGATCTCCGAGTGTCGAAGGATTCTTCTGTCTGCCAGTGGCTGGTCGCCGTTGTGTAGTTTCTTAGCTGGCGCTTGGGAACAGGTTTCTAGGGGTGGTCGACCACACAACTGGAGTCAGCGCTACATACCAATCAAACAAGTTAAGCCTAGGGGTCAGGCTTAACTGTTTAACTAGATTTTCACTAAAAACTTACTTAACTTAATAGACTTAATTTAATTTAACTAATATTACCTATTTAAGAAGTTAGTAAGGCTCTTATAATATCTTAATATATTAGAAATATACCTATTTAGTATTATAATATTATCCTATTCCCTATTAACCTTTCTACTTAAAGTAATACTTATTAAGAGTAATATTACTATTTTAAACTTAGTTCTAAAGATATTATATCTCCTTAAGTAGTAATAGCTTTATTAATAGCCTCTATAATATTAATATTAATTTAATAAAGCTAAATACCCTCTTATAATTAATTACTATTACTAGGATAGTAAAGATATTAAGGGCTAACTTACTAAGTATAGGAAGGTCTACTAATATAAAATCTACTACTAAATAGGATTATTAATAAACTAAGTAATTATAAAATTAAAATACTTCTCTAACTTATTAATCTTATTAATAATAGTATTATAAAAGCTATTATCTAACTATTAACTATAATTAAAGTCTTTAGACTTTAGAGGTATTATAATTAATATAAATAACTTTTATAGAGGCTTTAAATAGACTTACTTATTAGTATAAGTAGTTATCTTAATATACTACTACTCTTAGTACTCTTAAAGACCTTTTTTAATAATATAAAGCTACTTATAAATCTCTTAGGTATTCTAACACTTTTTAAACTATTATAAACTTCTACTAAAGTATAATATTATAATAGTAATATAAAAGGGAGACTTTCTAAACTTTTTATAATAGTTATTAAATACTTACTAGCTATTAATAATTAATAGGTATATAAATATATAAGAGTTAAAATTAGTAACTTAAGGGGGGTATAGTAATATAGTAATATATTTAGACTATAAATAAGTAGGAATATTATTAATTAATAAGGTCTATAAGATTAATACTTAATTAGATTAATATAATACCCTTATTAATTAAGATTACTATAATAAGAGACTTTAGGATACTTATATAGCTATAAGGTTAATCTCTTCTATAGTAGGAGTATTATAAAGCTTATACTAATCTTTAAGTTAATCTAAGAAATACTTAAGACTTATTAGGATCTCTTAGAGTTAACTATACTTATTACCCTTACCTTAGCCTTTATATTACTTAGTCTATAAGTAGAGAAGTTTAAATATTTTATTTAATTTAATAAGGACTTACTAATCCTTATTAATTAGGATATCCTTATTAAGGATATAATTATCCTTATTCTTAAAACCTAAAGAGTAGTATATATAACTAATAATCTAGCTATATTTAAGTAGGGTATAATAAATTATATTATATATTAAGTTCTATTAAGTAGTATTACTTAATATTAGATTTAGTTCTTATAATAACTCTTCTTATAGAGTAAAGGTATACTTATTATTATTAGCCTTATTACTAATAAATAAGAAGGCCTCTAAGTATTATAGTAATAATCTAATATACTTAATAATATTCTAAAGCTTACTAATAAGTCCTCTAGTCCTCTAATAAACTAGGTCCTCTTAGATCCTATTAATATTAATAAGATAGTTAGACTCTTATTTAAATACCTCCTTATTAACCTTATAAATAATAGTATAACTAATAAGGTTAAGGATATAGCTATAGTATTAAATTTAATAATACTAAGTATTTATTTCTATATATAACTATAAAATAGATAGATATAAAGCTTTAATATAAGTACTATTAGTACTAATATTATTAAAAACTATAATACTAATCTTATTAAATAGGTACTAATCTCTTATAACTATATATATTATAGTAGTAATATTCTTATTAGTATAGGTATTAAGCTAGTAATAAAAACCTAAGAGGTATTATATTTATTTACCTAACTTATTAATAAAGTAGCTAAAGATAGTAATAATAATATATTAATTAGGTAAGGTTTATAAGTTAAATAATATATAAACCTTTATAAGAGCCTTCTATATCTCCTCCTTAATTTATTACTTCTTAGAGATATAAAGTTATTAAAGTTAATCCCTCTAACTAGTCCTTAACTAATATATCTAAGTATTAATATTATAATTAAATATAATAAGTATATACTATATATACTAATTACTAAATATTATAAGAGAGTTACTAATATTAATAAGGAAGCTTATAACTAACTCTTTAATCTAAGTAGTCTTCTTCTTAAGTATAGTAATAAGAATAGATTAGTAGTACTTAAATAGAAGCTTAAAGTTATTAGCTTTATTAAGAGATATATTACTACCTTCTAAGTAACTTTAAAAGACCTTATACTTATTCTTAAGATATTAAGTAGTAGTAGTTATAGTTTTAGTATTATATAGCTTATTAAGAGTCCTTACTTTATTATAGTATTAATAAACTTAGTAGGTATTACTTTTCTTACTATTAATAAGGATCTTATAGATAAAAATACCCTTACTTATAATCTAAGAAGTATAGTTTTAAGAACCTTTCTTTATAATAGTATTAATATTAATAAACTACTAGTCCCTCTATATAGTATAAAATAAGACTTTAAGAGTATTATATATAGCTAAGTTAATAGTTAATATATTACTAATAGTAGTAGATAATATATAAATCTAAGTAGTAATCTTATAAAGAGTTAATAGCTTATAGCTAATAAAATAATTAATATATTAATTATAAGCTAGTAGAGGTATTATAATAACTAATAAGAAGTTAAAAAAGATATTAAGAGGTATATATAAGTAGGTCTTTAAAGTATAGAAGTATAATAATAGTAATAGTAATAATAGTACTAGTAGTACTAATAATAATATTAAAAAAAGGTTATTTTTAAGAACTAATATAAAGGTTAAAAATAGGCTTTTTTTAACCCCTAATAGAAAGGCTAGAAATATATTAATCTAGTAATAAGGTAAAAAGTATATTTCTAATACTTCTAGTAGTTCTTAATAGTACTAACCTTATTATTAAGAAATACTTAGCTCTACTCTACTACTTATTAGCTTAAAGGTATTATTAAACTAATATTAATAACTACTTAACCTTTTTTTTTTTTAGAGATATATTATAATAGGACCTAATAGGTTAATAATAAGTCTATTATATAAGTAATTATAGAGATATTAGTTTAAAACTAATTTAGGTTATCTACTTTAAGTATAAAAGTTATAAAAGTTATAACCTTAAGTAATTAGAATAAAGCTAAGTACTAAAATATCTAAGTAGACTTTTTTTTATTTTTTTAAAAAATCTTTTAAAAATCCTAATTAGTCTAGAGGTTAGATTTTTATTATTCTAAGTAATATTAGCTTAATTAAGTTAACTAAGCTTCTAGTACTATAGGCTTATCTATTTGAATAGCAAAAAGCCTCTAATTTGATTAGTTAATTGATTGATTAATTAATTAGGCTTGAATGGGGTGCTATGCTGACTGGAGTGAAACATGAAAAGCGCATCTTGCATCTCGCTCAGTTGCGCCTAGGTTTAATGTAGGATTCAAGAAAAAGCCACTCACCGATGACTTCGGGCTGATCAATGAGGTTCAAGCTTTAGTTAAACTCAAAGAGTTGCTGGCTAACCAACCGGTTCTGTCAAAGGGTCTTGGATCCGTGCACGCCACGCTCTGTATTCGGACTTTTCCCCATCAGAGGATAGTCTTCAATCCTTTTTGGGGTTTGTGTCTTTAAATACCAAGTCGGCGCTGTAAGCCCTACAGACCGTACGCACAGTGGTTGAGATAGTGGGAAGAAGTTGTACAGAGTCCGTGGTTCTAGTGCTTGATGCCCAGTCCTTCGCGTCGCGAGAGTCAGAGAGCATGGGCATCATTTCAGTTCAAAGCTGATGGCCATCAAAATGGTGCGACGATGACAGTTGCCGTAGAGTTGCTCCATAGTTCCGCTTGATATGCCGCCCGTGGTTGACGAGCTGCAAGGCGGCATATAAAGTCTGACGACTCTCCTTCGTCGAATTGTGGTCTCTCATAACGTCTCAGCCAACCCGTCTTGTTCCAACTCCAACTGATATTAATCTAAATACTATTTCTATCAACATGGTTAAAGATTGCAAAAAGTCGCCTGTCAAGGCGGCGATGAAATGTTTCGTTGGTGCATGGGGCTTCATCAACTCGACGCTGGTGTAAGTCTCACTCGTCAATCCCAATATTTCTACGGTAGCTAACAAAAGCCCTGCAGTAACACCACGTCTGGCGACATCATCACTCAGGACTGGGCCTACCCTGTTCCATCCGGCATGTCTCTGTTCACGCCAAACGGCTACACTGCGTTGCTGGTCACCGCAAACGACACAACTCGACCCGATCTGCGACCTCAGGGGCTGGACCAGAGCAACCCGAGCTCCTCGCCCGACTCAGAGTGGGCGAAGATTGGCAAGTACAGCGTCGCCGGTGCTGGACCGTTTCGTCTGTCTAACGTGACGGACGAGAAGGGCCCAGAGGGACCAGAGGGTGTGCAAACCGGAGAGTTCCTGACGTCTACGCTGCCGGCTCGCCTTGGTCCTTACGAGTTTACCTTCAAGTTTTACAACGACTGCTCTGCTTGGAACCTTCATCAAGATGTTGGGGCTGGTCTTCAAAGGGTTGCATGGTACTACAGGCTGCCTGACCAGGATGAGGACTAATGTTCTGGGGATTGAAAATACGGGCTTGAATGAGTCAGGTCGCCATAGGAGTTCACCAATCCTCTTGGAAGATAGCCATCGGAAGCGTGCAACAACTTAATCTCAAAGTTCTGTTCTCTTATTCAATCAGACACGAACAAGAAAGACGATAGGGACGACAGAGATGACGGGGGACGATAGATCCAAGTTACAACTGCGACGCCGGGGACAATGGAGGAAATCAGATGAACATATGTACCTAGCAGTCGGTCCCGATGATGGGGATAGTATGTTGCAGTACTCTTTGAATCAGAATTGCCCGAGTAGCACGCAAATGACCTTGAATCTCGAAAATAAACCACACAATATCTGAGAACGACACCCCCCACCCCTCTTTTCGCGAAATTACAAGACTGTACAACTACTTGAAGAATGATATACAATTTCTCCCCTCCCCAATCCCCTGAATTTTCCTTGCTACCAGTCGCGACCTTAATCGCCTGCTTTATCTTCAGCCTTCTCTGGCTCCAGGTCAGGAGAGACATCAGTTAGGATATCCCTTGTCTCCCTTCTTGCCGCTGCCCTTGGCCACCTTCGAAGGCTTCACCCAGCCGACAACCTCATCCGAGATGGAAGTGAGTTTGTCAAAGACGTCCTCGAAGTCCTTGGGTACCAAGTCGGTGTCGCAAGGATGCAACCAGTGCGTGAAGGCGTTGACCGCGTCAACCGTTGAGTAGGTCCACTTGAACAGCTTTGCAGCGTTGACGAGCGCCTCTGTAGAAATTTCAAAAGAGTCAGTCTCAGTGTTCTCCTCGCAGTGTACTTGGTAGTTCTGGGGTTCGGACTCACTCATTCCACCTGACATGGCCTTGCCTTCGGGAATAAACTCCAGGCCCTCCTCAAGAACTAACTTGAAAGAATGGATGTAAACATAACACGTGATCTAGAAAGAAATGTCGTTAGTAAGAATTCTGTTGCGAGACATCGTCAGTCAATGGATCTTTGTTAGTTAGCTTACTTGGGCCATCGCCGGCAGCATCTCGACGAATGTGTTTCCCAACCAGTTGATGACAGGGTTATCACAGACACAAACTCCAGGCGCAACCATGCCGGAAAGGCCCTTGCCGACGCTCTCCCAGGGTATCTTCTTGTCTACCGGGTAGAAACCGACACAGGTAGCAGAGGTGGTGACGCCGAGTTCATGGTTAGCCTCGTTGGACTCTTTGCAGACGTGGTTGCAGTCATTCTGCGTCGCCTCCCACTTGGGGGGCTTGTAGAAAATACACTTCTGATCGTTGGCGAAGTGGTTTTCCCAATTGTAATTCATATCCCATGCCTCTTCGGTCGCGGTAGGCGTGGCAACAGATGACTTCGTCGGTGTCGAGCCGGATCCCCCAGCAGACGAAGTCGGCTTCGTCGAGGTTCCCTTGTTTTTGCAGCTGCCACTCTGGCAACCCGTACCGCAGTGAGCATCGGTATTGCCGCACCAACCCTGAGGCGAGCAACAGTCACCCTGAGGCCATGAACCGCAAATGGCATCGTTTGCACCAATGCCGCAGCTGCCATCCGTAGTCACGGCACCCTTGACGCAATCACCACTCTGGCAACCAGAGCCGCAGTGTGCGTCATCGGTGCCACACCAGCCGCTGGAGGAGCAGCACTTGCCAAAGGTACTGCCCGTGCAAGTAGTGCCGCCGTTGGAAGGGCCACATTGACCGTCGGTTGAGACGGGTGCCGAGTTTGAGTCGCCAGTGCCAGAGTTGAAGTCAACACTCCACGCCATGGTGCCTCCGAAGCAGTAATTGTTGGCGAATTTCTTCTTCAGTGCGACAGTCTCCTCGTCATCGTAACCGATCCACTGGTCATCCCATGTAAGCTCCTTCATCATGGCGCCTTCGAGCAAGCGGGGCTGGAGACCCTTCTCCTTGATCAAATCCTGGATCTCAGTGAGAGACATAACGCCGGCCTGGTTGGTGCACTTTGCTGGCTTGCTGGGACCTTTGAAGCCGCATCCAAGGGTGTTGCAAGTAGTATCTGCAAACGGTTAGCCGTTAGTAAGGAGGAAGACCGGGAGCTGCATACCCGAAACTGTGTAGCCACGGCCGTACCAGGCAACACCGAAGACAATTTTGGAAAAGTCCAAATCAGCATAGGCAAGAGGAATGGTGTTGTTGTAAATCTCCCGAACGTCAGCCTGACCGCGGATGATAGCGCCCAAAGTCTTGACGTCGGAATCCCAAGAGCCGTGAAGATCATAAGACATGAAACCAAAGTGGTCGACATACGGCTCGAGGCCCTTGGCATCAAAATATTGACCATACCAAATGTCTGGAGGAAGCGTGAGGCTGATGCCATACTGAGATCCGTAAGAAGCGCGCATCTCCTTGAGCAACAGCACAAAGTTGGCGATATCGGCGCGAGAGCCACCGCGCTTAGGGTCTCCAGGGTATTCCCAATCGAGGTCCATACCTTGGAAGCCGTACTAAAAGATTCGTTAGCAAAGTTCTCCTTAGGGAGCATGCGAGAAGACTCACTTTATCCATGAAAGTCTTGCCAGATGCGATGAATGCAGCGCGCGCAGCCGGGCTTGCGCAGAGGTCATGCCAGGTCGTGTGCGTGCTGCGTTCCTTGTCGCTGAAGTCGTAGCCACCAACAGCAACCCAAGTCTGTAGACCTGACTTCTTCAACGCGGTGAACTCACGCATAAGTGGCTCGTCTGCGGCCTGTGCAGGAATGACGGCGAACGAAGCAGGATCGATTGACGCAAAGGCGAAGTAAAGATGAGAATAGCCGGCGGTCTTGATCTGCGACGGCGCAATGCGATTGCAGACACGGTCTCGGACGTTTGAGGCCTGGTAGTAGCCGATGGTTCTACCTCCAGTGGTCCCGGAGCCCTCGCCGCAAGTCTTGGGTCGGATGATGCTGCACTTTCCGAAGCCTTCCTGACAAGGGGAGAACTTGTTTGGACCGATGCAATGGGTTTCCGAGGTACCGCACCAACCTCCTGCGAGAGAAAGTAGTCAGACACCATCCAATCTGAGAGAGACAAGAGGATTTTGTGAGATATACGAACCAGAACTGCAGCACAGATCCATTCCACACTTGATAGCGCCGCCCGCAGACTCTTTGCCACACATGGCGGTAGCATCACAGTTGTTTTTGCAACCTGCGCCGCACAAGTCGCCATAACCACAAATTCCGTCTTTGCTGCAGCAGCTGTGGAGTGGTAGATCTAGTTAGCTGGGGATCCGAGTAGTTGACTAAAGGCATCGACGTGAACAACTGACCTGCCATCTGCACACTCGCCCGTGGGGCACAGCAAAGCACCTTCACCGGCAGCCTGTGCCTGTCTCTTCAAGATGTCGGCATGATTCCGCCATTCGGAAATCGGTCGAATCGATCTCCGGCGCTCCGGCATGTACTCAGTGACATTGTCTCTGAGTTCCATGTAATCAGCCAAAGGGTCTCGGTCGGCATCCGCGTATGGGTTCTGGTGAGTGAGAGAAGGAGGGCGTTCACAGCTTCCGCCATGGAGAAGAGTGGCGGCCGTCAGCGCGACCACAAGCAACTGTTTGCCGACCATAATGCCAAATTGGGACGGCGATAAAGAGCGTAATGAATGACTTAGTTGACAATATGTTATTGACAGGCAGGAAGTGTTCTCGACTTATATAGCACCGTAATTGTTGTCCTCTTTCCGAGTGTAATTGCACAAAGCTTCATCAGAAATTTACGAGTGAGTCTGGACCTGCATTCCAGATTTCAGCTGCACCTCGGCCAAGGGACTTTTGCCTGCCACCTCGTATTGAAAAGGCCATCCTAGTCATTTTTAACATGCCCGCGGAACGATGTAGAAAAGTAGACTAGCAGAAAACGGGTTGCTGTGTTGTGCGGTGGACAACGACCGAAGGATTTGGAGGCCAGGCTTTGGAAATCGTCAACTTCTAGACTCAATTGTGGAGTGTTTACTAGTCCCTCTGAGTCCCTGACATGGTACCTTTGGGTCCCAGCCTGGATGTTTACACTGTTGCCTGGTGTAGCCGGGAATGGAGACTCATCAAGACGGAAAATGCGGAACTTGCTCGCTCAGGGGTTAGAGAACACGGATCATTAATACGTACAGAATTAGATCATGTCCAGCTACGCCTGGTGTTTCTGTTCAGATTTCCCTTGAACAGACACTTGCTGCAGCTTTACAAGAATATCCGGCATTTTCGAAGAGGCATACACGAGAAAACACTCTTCGAATGTGTCGCACGTAGCACGCACTTGGCGAAGAATCGGAAGTCGGGAAGGGAAGCTTGGCGAAAGCTTGCTCCGCAAAGCGATTTAGCCTCAAGATGTTGGGCTCCTAGCTAAGTGGAAACAAATCTCAAGACGTTGCCACACTGGACTGAACCGAGCGGGCCGAGACCAACTTGAGGCTATTAGAACCGCGTATGATCCACAATCCGGACTAACATCCATGTCAACCCCCGGAATGAAGCGAAATTTTATCCAACTCAATCTGAGTGTCCGAGCAGACCAATAAGAAGTCGTTGAAGTTTATGATGAGGGACTTGCTGTTGGTCTTCGCTCGGCCGAATTATGGTGTGATTCGTCTTTTCTTTCTTCGTTCCGGCTTGTCCGTTGCACCTGGAATCTTGTTGGGTGTGGTAACAGCTACCGAATTGCGCGTGCTCTTGAAGATCCCCGAAGGTGCCATCATAACCGAAAGACCCTTGCCAACACTCTCCCAGGATATCTTCTTACTTACTGGACAGAAGTTGACACAGATAGCAAAAGTGACGCCGAGTTTCATATTGGCCCCGTTGGACTGTGGCAGGCTGCCTGAAGAACGGGAAGACTCCCCGCGTAATCGAATGGCGTCAAGCAAGCATACCTAAACTTAAGTGATTGATTTAGACTCTAATTGACTGCCCAATGGAGACAATTGAAATGCCTTGAAAAGTACCGTGTCAAGAAAGGTCGTTATTTGATTTGACATGACCTAGCGATCGTCCCTTTTTGACGGCCGCCGCTTGTTTAACGATTCTCCTTTGTGCCGTTTCCCAGCTCGCTGGAACAGGCTGCGCCAGCCTCCCTGGCGCCTAGATGGCCCTTCCGTGGCTCGAACTGGTTGCGGCTGCTGCTGCTGCGATACTGCTCTTTGGGCTTGACTCATGGTTTTTCATAAGACACAGGAGAGGAATCAATCGGCACAATGTTGGGGAAAACCAATTGCAGAAGTCAGGTTACGCGAAAGCAGAGATAGATGCCACTGAGACTCGACAGAGGATGGAGCTAGATGTAGATTCAACTACTATCCGTAACGGTTGGCATGAAGCACCCACAGAGTCTCCTAGCAGAGGTCGAATGGAGTTGTCAGGTTGAGGTCAGAAGAGCGGAGAAAACACAGATTCAACGTCAGGAAAAATAATGGTATCTTTCCGATGGCCGGAATTAAGAGGGGCCCACGGAAACGTCATATGTGTGTAAGGCAGACAAGTTATGTGACTTGACTGGGAAGGGTTTGCCTGGTAAAATTGTGAGCGTGTCTTTCGAAGGAGAAGAGCGATGATGTGAAATAGACACAATGGAGAATTCGCGTTCAATTGTCTTGCAAATTGCGCCTTTGGGACCTACAAAGCGTTTCAGATTGTAAAAAAACCCACCCCTGATTAATGATTAATAAGCTAGTTATGCTCTGTATGAGTAGAATACTACTGGATATTTACAGATGAGTTCGCTTCCTGTCAAGCCGGTACAAACACCGTTCTAGCCACGCAAGGCACACCCTCCTTAGATATTGCAAACATATACCAAGGTCCAGGGATGAGTACACCCGAGTCATTCGGAAGTCTGACTGTGTACTTTCCCGCCCCATTCTTCTTGACATCAGTTAATGGCACGCGACGCTGATCCGAGTTGATGCTGTGCGTTGCGCTTCCCATTCGAACCATCGCAAATGAGGCACCGTCAAGCCCGCCCTCAAGCGTAATCGTGATTGAGGATCCAACCTTGGCTGAAGTGGCGGAGATGCTCGAAATCACAGGCCGCTTCGCCAATTCACCCGCGGTAGTGAACAAGTAGGGCGGAGAAAAAATCTCGCCGTCGAAGTGATCCTTGGCGCGATCACACCAAAACAGGTCGCTGCCTTGAGCAGCTGGGCACATACCTCCGCCACCAACAAAGACAGTAGCGTCCGGTAGAAGAATGCCGACGGCGTGATAGTTGCGCGGAACCGTAGCAGGAGCCATCTGAGTCCAGGCTCTTGTCTTCGGGTCCCAGATTTCAGGGATCAGCACAGAGTCTGTGTCAGTGAAGACCAAGGATCGGCGTTGGCCTCCTGTCACGATGACCTTTCCGTCAGGAAGCACGACGGCGTTGGCGAAGCCGCGAGGGAAGTTCATATCCGGAAGAGTCTCAACAGTCGCCGGAGCTCCTGGTTCCGTGATGGTGATGAGATGAGCTGCCTTCGTACCGTCGCTATCGGTATAATCCTGGCTTCCTCCTGTGGCAAGAATCTTTCCAATGTCGAACATAACATTGACACCGCACATCTGGTCCATGACATTCGTGCGGACGCCTCCGGGAGAAACGGAGCCGCCATTGTTGGTGCTGTACCAGTTCATGGCTTTGCTAGGGCCAGCTTGGAAGACCGAGCCATTGCGCCAGCCGTAGAGCCAGGCATGGTTGTCCTCACGCCACGGTCCTTCGCGATCAGTCGTCAAGAGCGGTGTCGGGTCAGTTCCTTGTAGCAGGGTCCACTTGTTCTGGACAGGATCATAGGCCTCGCCCGTCTTTCCGCCAATAGGTCCTGTGAAGGATCCTCCGATGGTGAAGATGCGGCCATCTGACAACGTAGCTGACGTCTGGTAGCCACGAGCGATGACCATATCAGCCGCGCGGGTGAACTGGTTCGTGGCAGGGTCGTATACACTAACAGCTTCAGCATTCTCGCCGCCAGAGATGACAATCTTGCCAGAGGCAAGAGAGCTGATTCCAGGGCAAAACATGTCGTGCTTTGTGTTGGTGATAGTCCGCTGAGAGACGGCGCCGGTGAGGAAGTTGTAGTCCGCGAACTGCGTGATGCCTGTCGGGCCACTGAATGCGCGGTCTCCCCATGACGAGAAAACGAGGAGCCTTGACGAAGAAGGTTGAGCCGGCACGACATAGGCAGCAACGGGGATAATCGGGAACTGGATTACATCCGACCACCGGCCGACCTTTGACGTAGCCTTGGACGTGCTAGCCTTGATCATCTGTAGGGAGGTGAACTGGCGGTTGAACTTCCAATCTGACGCGGCGGCAACAGTTCCCTTGATGTGGCAAACACTGTTTTGCATGTCGTAGACGGCATAGACGCAGTCCTGATTTGTGGTGCAGCTTTCGGCACAAGCTTGAACGGAAGCACAGCCGTCAATAATGTTGACGCTAGGGACAGTGAAGTCTGCGTTCTTGCAAGTCGCGAAGCTAGCGCCGTTCTGGGTGGTGACGTTGGAGTAGCCGCCTGAACAGCTGGTAATGCCGTCACCATCTGCGAGGACAGAGACTTTGCTTATCGAGTCGAAGCCAGGCTGGTATGTCCACTGAAGTTCTTTCGGCTCCGCTTTGATGTAGCACTTCGAGCTTGACTTTTGGAAAACGGCTCTCAAGCAGGATGAGTCGTTGCCACATTCGATAGCGCATGCTTCGATCGACGTGACTCCGTCAACATCCCGAACCGTGGTGCCTTGATAATCCGTGTTCGGGCAGGCCGCCAAGATAGATCCGGAGGAAGTGACGTTCGTTGCGCCAGTTGGGCAAGATTGGATGGGTGCGCCATTGCTCAGCTTGGATACGAGCCTGATAGTCGTGAAGCGAGCGTCTGTGGCCCATGTGAGACCATCCTTGGCCTTGAGATGACAGCCGAAGTTGGCCTTGTCGTAGACTGCCTTGTCACATTGGGGATCTTGGCTACAGGCTTGGGCGCAGTCGAACAATGTGGCGACAGTGTCGACAAACTTGGTTGTTGTTCCCTGGTAGTCGGTTTGATGGCAGACGGCCCAGGTGGAAGAACCGTCGGCTGCGACAATGTTCTCCTCGGCAGATGGACAACTCGAGAGTTGGGCTCGTGAAGTCTGAATTAGTGATAAAGACAGGAAAAGGAAAGAAAAGAGTGTGATTCGACCCATGATGCCGGTTGTTTGCGAAAGAGCGACTTGTGACACAACGGTGAGAATCTCACGATCAGTGGGAGTGGGGATGTGGTCCCCTATTTGAAAGTCTACTCGGGCCGAACTACCTAATGACGTACCGACACGAAGCCTTCCGCCCACCGTAGTCAACCGCAGGTACAATATCCCATCGCCGAGCTTCTAAAAGAAATACGAGCGTCTATCTTCTGGATCGAACGATGCATCTTGCCTGTTGGCTCTAGCATGAAACATGTGGGCTTGCTCAAGAGCCGAGAAGCCGATCGTAAACTTCTATTTGAGGCCTTCTTTCATAAGCGGATCAATCACATAATAGGAATTTTGAAACTTAGGCTCAAATTCTGGCACCGTCAACGGTGGCTGCGGTGAATTTAAGATGTGGGCAGCCTGCGACGAATAACGCCGAGCCTTGGAAGCAGCCGATGGCTTCTGGGACAGTTCTTTGGCAGAGAATGTCCGTGTCAAAAAAGATGAAAGGGGTATTCAATTTGACGGACGTCTCTTAGCGGACAGAATGCGGATGTGGCTCGGCTTAGCGTTGAAATATGGTTGACACTATTGATTGCTTTGACTAAGCCATGCCAGACGCAGATGGTGTCACCAAGCATGAGGACAGGGACCGCCGACGATCAGTAATAAACTATACGAGTCCGTTCAGGTCTGCAACTCAAACTCAACGGGCTAAGTCTCTGTTGGACTTGGCTCCGAAGTTTTCACTCTCTTGTGAGGCATTCGGCTTCAACCAGTTGAGGCCGACGTCGATGATACAAAGACTCACGGCAGTTTAGAGGTACATCTCAATGGTGAAGGTCAATGAAATGTAATGGAATATACAGATTTTTGTCTATGTTTATGTACAGGTTTTACAAAGGAAAAATGTCTATCGCAACAAATACCGCCCCTCACTCCAGTCAAATCCATTCTTCTAGTTGACATAGATGGTGCGGAACTTGCTGTCGACATGCCACCCAGCGCTAGACAGAGACGGATTGCCCTTGTTGTAGCACGTCCACGTGGAAGGGTTGTACACAATCTTGTTGCATCCAGACTTCAATTTGCAGAGCAAGATGCAGGCGGTGTCGGAGACAACGCCGTACCAAATATCCGTGGCAGGGTTGTTGGTGAAGTCACTGCTGGGGCAGACCGTGTACACGGTCCTGAGAACGGTGACGGTGTATGTCGGTGCCAGACACTGGGTAAGGGGAGTGTTGTCGGCGACCTTGACGAGGGTCTGGAAGCCGGAGTTGACGTTCCAGTTGGAGGCGGCGACGCTGGGGCTGCCCTTGAGGTAGCAGATCTGGGTGGAGGGCCTGTACACTGCTTTGGTGCAGCCGGAGGTCTTCTCGCATTGGGTTGCACAGTCTTTGTTGGAAGTGTACCCGTAGTAGATCTGAGGGCTCGGGATCATGAAGTCGGTGTCGGGGCAGATTGCGTAGAGGCCGCCGTTGTTGCCGACTACATAGCTGGATGGGTTCGGACAGCTCGAGATGGGGCCGGTGCTGGAAGAGCCACCAGTCACTGCAGAGGTGGTGGGCTTGACGGATGTTGACAATGTGGAAGGCTCGCTGGTAGTGGAGGTCGTGAGGGCAATAACCGGGATGGATGTGCTGCTAGTGATGGCAGCAAGAGTTGTCAGGCTGCTCGTGAGACCAGCAACAGAGGTCAAAGGGCCAGAGTTACCCTGGGGGCAGACAAAAGTACCAGGATCGGTAGTGAGGGAGTAGGAGTAGGCGTATTGAATGGTGTAAACATCGCTGCCGGAGGTGTATCCCGTGTTAACGGCATAGCCCTTGTCCCAGGTGCGAGAGTAGAGGGCGCAGATCTGAGCCTGGGTGACACCGTTCTTGACGAGGAGGTAGCTGGTGAAAAAATGGCACCTCAAACCGTTGAACGGGTTGGTCTCTTGTGCCTGAGCGGCGCAATCAGTTGCGCAGAGGGAAGGATCGTATGCGTTGTTGGTGTGAGCCTTGAATGTAATGTAGCTGTTGCAGTCTGAAGGAGCGTTGATAGTAGCCTTGTCGGTAAAAGTTGCGTTGTAGCCTGAGACAGGGTAGTCAGGAGCGGTGAGCTGGTATCCGTTGGAACCAGCAACGACGATGTGGAAGTCGTTTCTCCAACCACCACTGTTCGTGGCAGTGGAAGGCCCGATGCCGACACCCCAGAAACTGCACTTGATGACGGTTGTACTATTGGGGTTGGGGCAGCTAGCGGCGGGATCGACGGTCGGGTCGCGCTCGAAGAAGATGTTAAAAGCGGCACATCCGTCAATCTTAGCACAGTCTGCTGCGCAGAGAGAAGGATCGTAGGTCGCGTAAGTACTGTAGCCTTGGTATGCTGAGGCTGAGGTGGCAGACTGGAGATTCTGGAAAGTCCGGTACCAGCCAGAAGGAGTGATGGCCGAGTTGGCGGCGTTGGAGAAATCGGTATCGGCAAGGAAGGCCTGGTCCGTGTCAGGAGACGGGACCGGGCCGCTGCCCGCAGGGAGAGCGCCGCAGTCGCGGGCGATCAACTTCTTGCCAAGATCACGCTTGGATGCTGCGACGGTCTGGTTACCGACACCGATAGGGACGGACTCCAATGCGGGAGCGGGGATGCTTGCAAGCTCTGAAAGAGTGAGGAGCTGAGCAGCACCAGTTGCCGCGAAGGCGGCCAGGGTAGCGATGGTGCGCATGTTGGAAAGTGATTGAAGCTGAGTTGGTAAAAAAGAATGTTAGTAAGAAGTGAGTGAAGAAGCTGTGTGAATGAATGGCTGTGAAGGCTGGTTGAAACAGAGGAGACGAGCGACTCGTCTCAAGAGTTATATATCAGAAAGTTACGACGATGGACTCTGTCAGGCCATGACAGGATTGCAAGCTGCAAACCGTTCCTTTGAGCCACAAAGAAAAAGCACGTTATGGACTGACGTCTGCTCTAGCGGAGAGGAGCCAAGCACCGGAAGGCCGAACATGTCAAGTTAGGTCGCTGGACTCGGGAGACAAACAAGGACTCGGCACACCATGCAGCTGGGCAGAATGGGTAGCCGACTTGGCAGTCGGAGACCCCAGGAAGAACGGAACCACGTGGGAGGCACCCGTCAGGTAAAATTGTCACAAAGAGTCTTTGTGTGTATGAGATGGCTGAACCGAGAGTATGTCATGGACAACAAAGACTCACTCTGAAGTGGCTGAACGTTAGCCTCCATGACATCGGTTGATACCTGAAGGCATTAGTCTTGATTTGGATGGTGCTCCGTTCCGCCACAACTCGTGTTGACAGCCACTGCGTTGACTGGTATCGGCAGAGCTACAGCACAAAGAAGTCCAATGCGATACCGAGCATTAAGTCGGGTGCCAGTAGAACGTTGAGTGACGGCTAGAATTTAATCTGCCACGAGACTTGATGATTATGCGAAGAGGAAAGGTCGGCCTTCGGGGTCGCCTGGCTGCCTGTAGCTAATTTTACATGGGCCTAGTCCGATCCATGGATTTAGAATTTTGGTGCCGTGCTTGGAATTAGGTGCAGAATTATTCACTGACGTTTGCATTTGTGACATCGAAGAGGTTCATGAGATGAGTTGACTGATCAAATGAAGGTTGAATAAAAGTCCTGTTGAGTACCTGTCCATCTGTAACCCTCACTCCCCACGTATCAATAGCTTTTACCCAATAACCCGGTTTCCAGCTAAGCGAATGCATACGGCATGTGCCCAGCCAGTCAGCGTCAGAACTCGATATATTCGTGTACAGGCAGCCGATGTTGGATGATATCATCAGCGTTCAACATGTCTGTGCTAGACACGCGATGCTCCGCAGCCGCGCGATCCGGAACAATGCCTGAAGCAACGTGACGCTCTACCAGTCTTGCCCGAGACAACTCGCGATCAATATTCAGAAACCACAACTCATCCATCAGACTCGCAGCGGAGCGCCAAGGTTCCCTGTCAAGACTCAAGTACAAACCCTCGAAGACTATGATGCGAGCCTCTTTTGGTACGCAAATGTCGTCTTCCACAGGATCCTTCACCGCATGGTCGAAGCTCGGAGCGAAGATGTTGGGTGTGGCGTCGGTCACTGGTTCTCGAAGGGCTTGAACCAGACGATGAAACCGCTCCGAATCGAAGGTGAACGCAGCCCCCCGACGATGAATAGCTTCAGCTGGATTGGGCATTGCTGCTAGCTGTGATCTATACAAATGGAAACCATCCATTGGGATCATGGCGACAAAGTTCTCTTTAGGCTGTGCACTCTGGAGCTTTGCTGCTAAGGCTGTTGCTAGAGTCGTTTTGCCTGATCCCGGAACACCAGATATCGCAATCATAACACGGCTGCTGGGATCATGAAGTTCATGCAAGCCTATGATGTTTGTTAGCTTTATTGCTCGCCAAATCCTTCATTTCACGTCGGTGAAACATACGGAGAACCTTCGCAGCCAATCGGTCGAGCTGTGTAGTGTACACATCTGTCTCGACATCTGTTTGTCTCTTGAGCGTCATATTAGATTGGTTGCTTCAGTATGTTATGGAGGCAAAGTGTCAACGAATGGCGGAAGGCGAAGACCGAGTTGAGGACGGCGCTTTTGTTTGTTCCTGAGATATGTACCTTCGTGCCGCTCACTGATATCTTCGAAAACACGGCTTCTGCGGCACTTTTTTGACCGAGGAGACTGACGGGATCGTTCCTGACTTGCATCACTCCACCATGATCGCCGCCGGACCGTGTCAAGTCCGGCAGAAGGTCATCTGCAGCCAGAGAAAATAGTGGGTTCATCATGTGTAATATGAAGCTTAAGAGTTCAATGTTAGCGATCGCAATGTATCGGTCTTCTTTGGTGATGGCCCAGGTAAAACTTATCTATGTCTTCAGTAAGATTGTCCGTGAAAACCATGATACAACTAGACGTTCGTTTGATATAAGAAAATACCTTGTCGAAAGTGGTGCGACCAGAATCCCCTTTCTCGGCGTCGGCCGGATCTGTCGATGATCTGCTTGTTCTTCACGGGCCGTGTCCACGCCGCTTCCCGTGGATTTATGCAGGGATGCGCAAGTGACCCGATATCGCCACCAATCGTGTGAGATCGTGGCCACCCTGCATTTTTCGCGGGACTTTTCAGAGGTACTTGCTCCCTGAAGAGTTGGTAATGGCAGGGATTTCTCCCAGTTGGAGGTTCGCGATGCATGGAGGCAGCGACAAGAGGAGTCGCATAAATGTTCCGGTCATCCCACGCGGGTGGAAACAACCAACTCGTTTTTTTCTCATTTATTAAATCAACTTTTCCTCGAAACTGCTAAATGGCCCAGAAATATCCCACACTACGTCAACTTCGTCCCAGCACTTTGAAGCAACTCTGTGATCTCCAAGGTAGTATAACGGAAGTCGTAGAACTCTACGGGTAATACGCATTCAGATATAGGGCTTCGGTGTTCAGCTACAGCAGTCCTGATAATGGTTTCATAAAGCTGTGCTAGAGGCCAGCGCTTGCCGCACGCATGGAGAATGAAGGCCAGAGTATGAAGGTTTGCGGGAACATCTGCATCGAGTGCTTTAGAGTATACTTGATTTTGTTACAACCGCGTTAGTCTGTCATAGGCTACAACATGAAAAGTAACACATATCGCGATCGACTCACCTATGTAGAAGCGTGCCGCTACGAACAGTGGTGAAATAAGATAGGGCGGCTCGCGTTCAAGCTGATCGGCTCCTATGCGGCGCACCTTGGCCGTCATATTTTCACAGGCGTAGGTGCATCTAGTTGTGGCAAATGCCCACTGCAATGAAGAGGGTCAGGTGTGAGAAGAATAAATAGAAGCGAATAAAATCATCGGCAATCCTTACATGTTCAAAGGTTGTCTCTATCCCTTTCGGCATGGGCGCCATCTGCTGAAGCAAGACAATGATTGCCCTAATAGGTCAGGTTAGACCCCATGACAAGTTTGGAATGGGAAATGAACATACTCATTGAGGATACAGTTGGTGAGCGTAAAGAAAGACTCCATTTCTCCTCGAGGCAAGTGCTCTTTCTCATAGTTGATTAGCTGAAACACAGCAGCAACGAATTCTTCGCGCCAGTTTGTGAGCCTCTCGTCTAATCGTTGTGCTTCGGACTGCCAGTCAAGCCTCTGATCCAGCTTGTCCAACTCATAGGATCTCCCCAGAAACTCGCGGACAACCTTGAGCTCCTCCACTGAAAGGATGATGCAAAGGGTAAATCCCGATGCATACCGCGGTTCTGAATCAGAACGCTCTATCACTGTCGGTGTCGTCGACCATTGAGACTCGAGGCAGGGTAGGCTAGCACCCAGGGGCGATGGTGAGTACGGCATGGAATACGGAAGTCCCAGGGTGGAAATTGCATCCAACATCTCGACCATCCAAAAAGCTCGCCTCGCTTCCTCTTTGACTACATTACTACTCACGGCATAACGCTGGGCCATCTGTGCCCTGGATGTATAGGTGCACGAGGGGTTTACCCCGTGGCGTTGAAGGTTGGAATGAGCAAGTATTCTGCCTTTATATTAGCAACGTGGCCAAAGTATCCTCCAACTCTCGATTCTGTGGGTGTGTACCTCTTGCAGACTGCCAATACGTTCCAGAATATTGTGAGTTTCCCGCTGGTGTAAAAATGATTAGATAGAATCAAAAGAGCCTGGACAGACTGAAGCGACGAGGTTGCAAAGCCTCGGAGCAGGACTTGATCGCGAAGCTCCGCGGCTCTTGCATGATGCCATGGCAAACTCTCGGCCTGATCAAATACTATTACAACAGTGACAGCTTTGCAGACCAGTTCTTGGTCGGAGCTCCCAAAGGCGGACAATTCTTGGAAGGAACCTTGATGCAAGATAGGAAACCAAGGGTGATAGCTTTGAAACCATATTCTGAATGTTTCATATGCTGTAGGGAGGCTGAGTGTAGCTGGCGGCATCGGAGAGTCATTGCTGAAGGTACTGAGGTGAGATTGGGGAGCAGCTTCCAGCACGTCCTGGGTGAGATCACCACCAACTTCGGCCAGATCTGGATCAGACGGATCAGATTCCAATTGGCCATTGCCAGCTGAAGGCAGGGAGGCAGGAGTGCGTTCGATATTGAACGGCATGTTATGGCTACCCTGCACCAAATAATCTTCAACTCGTTCCAGTCTCGCCTGCATAGCTTCTGTCGCGGAGATGATTACTATTCTGGACGCAGGACCCAGTTATGCGAAAACCGTTTGGACTCACCAAGCTGCTGCTCTAGTCGCGACACGTAGCCAGCTCGGAGTCCGGGCCGTTGCTGTCTCGACTTGTACACGCACTCAAAATCATGCTTTGAGCAAAGTCTACATCGTGGGCGTTGTCGATCGCAAGCGACCTTACGTTGGCGGCACACCAGGCATCTACGCCGGCCCAAATGACCGAGTCAGCAACAGAACCAATTACCAAAGACAGGGTTTCAGCGCAGCATACGCGAGCCTAGGTTCTCTCTGTGACGCCGAAGACATTTCGTGATGGCGGAACCACGGTGGTGGGAACCGTGTACCTGCAGTCCTGGGCCGTGTGCGGGCCGACGGAGGTTATATACCGAGGCTTCTACGACGAGATCGGCTGCTAAGTCATGTAATGGCGCCCCATTTAATTGTCAGTCACGCGACATAAATGGAGCATCGTAACATGGAACACTCCCGTCGGCCCCCGCCCCGGCTCCCGCCGCGCAAAGGGCCGTGTAACTCCGAGGCCAAGCTGACTTCCGGCCATGTTCCGGCAATGATCAACGAGCGTACTGCACGTTCGTCGTAGGTCAGAATCGCAGTCGAGTAGCCCGCAGCTTACGGGCCGTGTCAACACCGCCGCGTGCCATGACCAACCAATCAAACCAGGACTTCTATCCCCACGTTCACCCCAGAATCGCGAGATCTGGGGTATTTCCCGATGCCACATCTGTATATTTGTGTAAGTTTCTCCCCTCAACACGGAAACATTGAAACCGTCCATGTTTGCCGCCCTCGGAAAACAAGCAAAGGCATCTTCTTGTCGCCAACGGACTCAGCAACGACACGTTCTCGACCGTCACTGACAACATGGCGAACCGATACTTCGGGTGCCGGGGGAGATCTCTCCTCGTCTGGCTGACCGTCTGCTACGTAAGTAAAATTCACTCCCTTACTCGGGACACTTGCTAACACCAATCCTAGGTCTCCTCTATGGCGCTGTTCGGCTATGATCAGGCAGTGTTCAGTAAGTCCAAGCTGCGATTCAACCCCTCAGCGTCGTCCGCTATGTTTATTGACTTGTAACCTTCCTCTTGATTTTAGGTGGAATCATTGTGTCAAAGGACTTCCTCAAGACGATGAATAACCCCGATGCCAATCTTCAAGGAACAATCACATCCTTGTACAACGTCGGATGTTTCTTTGGCGCTCTCTCAGGCTCGTGGATCGGCTCTTCCCTGGGACGTAAGCGATCCGTCATTCTCGGCACGACGGTCTTGGTCATCGGGGCCATCCTGCAAATGACAGCCTTCAGCGTACCGCACATGATTGTCGGACGCCTAGTTGCCGGCCTCGGAAACGGTCTCAACACCGCAACTGCGCCCGTTTGGCAAAGCGAGACCACCCAGGCCAAATGGCGAGGCAAGCTTGTTGTGCTGGGTCTGGTGGTCAATGTTGCCGGATTCTCCCTGGCGAACTGGGTCACCTTCGGCTTCTCCTACCTGGAGGGCAGCATCTCTTGGCGCCTCCCTCTCGCTCTCAAGCTGATCTTCTGCCTCGTCATTCTCTGTACCGCGCCTTGGCTGCCCGAGTCTCCCAGATGGCTCATCTCGAAGAACCGCATCCAAGAAGCCGACATTATCCTCGCCGATCTGAAGGGGGAAACCAACGTGTCGAATCCCGCTGTGTTGGCCGAGCGCAACGAGATCGTTCGCGCGTACAAGCAGGAAACCGAAAACGCTATGACTTGGTCTCAGCTATTCCGAGGAGCATCGGAGAAGGGTGGATCTGGAGCGTTGCGCCGTTTCTTGCTTGGACTGGGTACCCAGCTTATCGTGCAGTTGTCTGGTATCAACGCAACCTCCTACTATCTCCCGACGGTCTTGATAGAGTCTGTTGGGCTGGAAGAGAAGCTTGCTCGTCTCCTGACCGCCGCCAACTCTGTTCACTACATATTCTTCTCATACTTGGGAATGATGCTGATTGACAAGTGGGGTCGCCGTGGTGCTATGATCTACGGTTAGTGTTCTATCGGCACCAACTGCGATCCGAAGAACTGTTGCTAACGTTGAATGACCGTACAGGAACTTCGGGTTGCTTGGTATGCTACATCATCCTTACAGTCCTCATCAGGACTGGCCAATACGCGACGGACGAGGGACTGAAGTATCGCGTTGGAGCTGCCTCGGTCTCGATGATCTTCCTGTTCTACGCCATATTCGGCGCCGGTTGGCAAGGCACTGCATGGCTCTACAACACCGAAATCAACTCCTTGGCTATGCGAATGAAGGGTGCCTCGGCCAGTGTCGCCGCTCAATGGGCGATCAACTACATGGTCGTTCAGATCACCCCCATCGGTATTCAAAACCTGGGTTGGAGATTCTACCTTATTTGGGTGTTCATGCAGTTCTTTTCTGTGCCGATTTTGTACGTCTTCTACCCGGAGACTGCGAATAGGAGGCTCGAAGATATCGACATCGTCTTTGAAGAGGGCCTGAGGACTTGGGTGTTTCTGGACAAAGAGGCTACGCAAGTTGCGCGACCACACCGCTTCGTCGTTATGGAGGAGGAGGAAGTTGCCGATGCTGCCAATGACATCAAGGCCAAGGTCAATAGCCCTGAGTTTGAGCAGGTTGATCACCCGGTTCAATCTAAGTAGGGTGACAACTGTAGCAAACGCATTATTGACGTCGGCGTTTCTTCGGCAATGATTATGTCTGCTGGCGAAGAGTTAGCTAGGAATCTATGTGTTTAAGCTTGTGCTGTTAGAGATTGTGGCTTCACGTAACACCAAATCCTTTATCTCGGCGAGGCTTCCCAATCATACGGCAATGACAGCACACGACAGTGCAGATCACGACTGATATCAAGTTGATTGTCACTTTTCTTGACAAATGAAACACTTAAACACGCAGAATGTGAGGAAGTTCTGAAGAGGATATAAACCTCTACCTATTGGTGTCAAACAACCTGACAAATCGTGCGTTCGGCCCATAAGGAGCACTGCTGGCCCGAAGTCGAGCACCGACCGGCGTAACTCAGGCCAGCTACCGGCCTGTAGGACTAAGCCTCCCACGACCTCCCTCGTATCCCCGCCCCCCAGACCCAAGCGTTGGACTTACTGGCGACTGGGTGGCGTCACTTCCCATCTCAACGGACCCGCCGTACCTCGGACTACTAGGCATCTCGCTCACACTGTTTGGCACTTCAAGTTCCGCAGCTTGCACCCCCGGTGATGCGGTCGGCGACGCTGCGAACCCGGGCTTCGGCTCAGGGGAGGAGTACGGCGTGTACCCCGGTAACTCTGAGAAAGCGGCGCTCTGTCTTGAGTTCTCGGCAGCTGCTAGCTCTGCTGCTGCCTTTCTCTTTTTCCTCCGCCGCAGGATGAAGGCGAAGATGCCTGCGCCGACAAGAGCGATGGCTCCGAGAACGCCACCGACTACTCCACCAACTATGGCGCCTTTAGATGGCCCGCTCGAAGAAGAAGTAGGCTCGGGAGTGGTGCTATTCGTGGCAGCGGTGGGCTGCACGACGAGTGTGTACGTCGGTGTATACGCCGGTCTCTTGAGCGACGGGTCAAAGATGTACTGCAGATAGACATCGCTCCACGCGCGAGGCTTCGTAACATACGCGCCCCCGGATGCCGTCCCCCCAATGGCCTTGACGACCTGCTCCGGCACCGGCGCCAGTCTCTTCGCGGCCTCGGTGTCGTACTTCCCCGTGTAATTGAGCGACACCAGCGAGAAGATCTCAGCGGGCATGTGCTCCGAGCAAGTCTGGACATTCCCGCCGCTGCCGTCGCTCTTGGTCTGCATCCCGCCCACGATCACGAGATTCTCACCGACGGCGTGGCACGTGTGCCCGTACATGCCGTCGGCGCGGGTGTGCACGAGGATCCAATTGAAGGTCGGCAGGGTGAGGACCCAGATTTCCTCGGAGGTGATGTAGGTCGCGTAGTTCTCGACGCCGGCGATCATGTAGATATTCCACGAGGATGAGTCTTTGGCGGGGACGAGGACGGCGCAGATGTCGGAGCGGCCGGTGGGCATGTCCGGGAGGCCGAAGGTCTCTTGTCGGAACCAGAAGCCTGTTTCGATGTCGTAGATGTCGACGAAGGATTGGTTGATCTGGGTTTTGTCAAGAGGTGGGTGGAGATGTTGAGGGCGGGGGGCTTACATTGATGTTCCCTGATGCTGCATCATCTATGCGGACGCCGAATTCCGTTTCGTCTCGGGTTGTTTGCCCACCGATGTTGACGATGATACCCTTTTCTCCAACCGGGACGTGGACCATCGCACCGTTCATGCGTGGCCCAACATACGTGGGAACGGAGATGTTGGTCAGCTTAGGCTGAGACTTGTCTGCGGTATCGAGCTCTAGCATTCCTTCGAGAACTATGATTGTCAGCAACTAGTTTCCATCACGAGCTTTGATGCACTTACAGCGAAAGTCCATAGAGGGTGTATACTGGCTGTTCGCAGGACTGCTCCTGCGCTGCGTGTACCCCTCAAAGATATAACTCCGATTCAACGTCGGCGCGTCGCAGAATGCCGCGGCGCCCGGCCGGTCGATAATCTGGTCGTTGTTGGATACCTCAAAGTCCGTCGACTTGGCCCACCGCTCCGTGTCGATGTCAAACTCCCAGATGGCCGGTTCAGGGAAATCGTCGATATATGCCGGGTTCTCATTGTTGTTGGACGACCACCAACCCCCTAGCTGGTAGACCTTTCTAGTCGTCTGTGAGTACCACATCGCATGCTCGATAAGACCGTTCGGGACGTCCGGCGCTTTCCAGATGGAGCTGTATGGCCCGGTTTCCTGGTTCGTGAAGTTCTGGGACAAGTCTAGGACGAGAAGTTGCGTGTCTGTGTTGTGTCAGCCGTTGTTATTATGTGTTTGCGGGAGACTTACGCATCCCAGATGTAAAGGCGCCGGCCTGGGTGTTGTAGAAGGTGTCGTTGCCCTTCGGCACGTACGTATTTCCTCCATCGATGTAGATCTTGCCGTCTGCGTAAACACCTAACAAGACTTAGACTCAGGTCATGATGCATCATGGAATCACTTACTAGCATGACGAAATATCCTGCAAAAGTGTTGTGACAGATCAAAAGCAGTGCTGTTGATGCTAGCCGCAGGAATGGCTGTAGGCGCAGCAAACACAGACGTGCTACTCGCGCCACCAGAGACAACCGCAGAGCTCACAGCCTGCCTCGCATCCAGCGAAGCAAAGACCGACCCAGAAACGGCCGCAAAAAGCGGCCAAAGTGAGACAAATCTCATGACGGCGGTTCAATCAGATAAGAAGAGGTGACGATCAGGTCAAGAAGACGGCCTGGAGGGGGCGGGCATCGACGGGTATTTGCAGGACTCAACCCCCCGGGGGAGGCGTCGCTGACAGCAAACACCTCCCAGGTTACCCAGCAGGACGGTCAAGAAGGCTCTCATGCCCGCCAAGCATCATCAGCGGAAGTCTCACATGGGGGAACCAAATCGCGCAGGCAAAGAAGCTGAAGACCGCAGCCTGGGGTTCGCACACGTCGCTGCAGTGGCGGGCGACGCAAAAGCCTCAACATGCCCGTTTCGGCCGGTCTGGCCGATGATCGAATCAGGACAACATGGGCGGGCGCGGGAGCTAGGGTGCTTCCATTGGACCTTGTCGATGAAGGAGGGTGAGGGGATCGTGATTCTTATTTGTCTGGGTGAGGATAAGCATCGCCCCAATATGCAAGGGAGACTAGACGGAGCCTGCTTGTAGCAGTCGCACTGCTGACGGGCTTGCGGCCGTGGGAGACACACGGTAAGGAGATGGGGGCCGCGATGGCTGCTGTGTTTCTTGGTGAGAGGTGGAAACACATTGTTCGTGAGATGAATGGAAGGGTGTACGAGCCAGGCTCTGGACCTTGGTCCGGATGCTTGATCGTCAATGTTTGCTCGAGGACCGTCGGGTCTGCGGTCCTCATTTGGATCTTGGCGGGCTTATCTCGAGGTAGTGCGTCACGGTGGCTTGTCCACTTGGGGCAGAACATGATAAAGAGAACCAGACACCCACTCCCATCATCGAGCTTCTGGACGACAAGGCTCTCATGACATCCTCTATTTGAGGCTCTTCATTCCTTCACAGGGAGTTGAAGATGGCAAAGTTGAAGAATCACGGGCCAAAGCCATCCCCTGCTCTGCACATGGCCCCCACTCCCGCTCCCTCGTTTGCCATGCAAGTTGCAACTCCCACCTCCCGCTAAACAAGCGCTATCAAGGATCCCCCGCCTGCTCCTCCAACAGCCCTTCCCCGCAGCACTCAGCACAGTCATCAGCAATGAGCCTTTGGATGAGAACGTTGTGTTGGCTGGTTGGAGCGGTATCAGCCAGCCCCCGCGTGCACCGCCTGAGTCGGGCCCGTACAGCCGCGACGCGCCAATCAGCAGCGGCGCAGGATGATGCCACAGCAATCCGTCTTGCGCTGGCGTCCTGAAACTTGCTCACCTCCATGCCGTTTTGGGATTCGGAGGCTGGTCACAGGGCTGTTGCTTGTGTTCATGTGCTACGCGGCCCATCTTGATAAAGCTCTCTGTGCTTGTGAAGAAGACGAGGGCGAGCTGATAAAGGAGCTGTTTGTTCCCTCATAATTCTAGAAGATCCTGCATCTTTCATCTCATCGTGCTGTTTGCCGTTGAAACTCAATTCGAAGCTCCAACGCCACCTCATAGACAGATAATCATCGACAGGGCCGGTTCCCATAGTAATCACCGCCAAAATGCCGGCCATCTTCGCTGACCAGTTCGTCGCTCCTGTCTCATGCATACTTCTCAAAGACGTCCATACTCACACACGGATAACAGAGTTCTTCCCGTCGGGAACGAGCAAAAGATCAAGCTCGACTCTTCGATCAAGGACCAAGAAAGCGCACAGCGCGAAGTCCCCAGCACCGCCGACTGCGCAACCCACCTCAGACTCCTCGACACATTTGTCGCGCTCCGCAGAAGCGTCGAGCTGCTCGCCGACGAGGCAGACCTCACCGCCGCGCAAGGCTGGGATCTGTACTGCGGACGGGCTGTCTCCCGCTTCGAGAAATGGTCTACTGCCAGCAAGCAGAGAGGGCAACCTCCCGTCGACGTCTTGATGGCGTGGCACGCCCTCATGCTGCACCCTAAGGCGTACGCCAGATTTATCGAACTTGGCGGCAGTCTCGGCCTGGACGGTCTGGACTGGACTGAAGTCGTAAGTTCACGCATTCGCACAATCCCTGACTCGAGTCCTTGAGTCGCTTCAAGCTTCGCTTGTGCTGACAACTGACACAGTCGAATGCGGTCGACATCGACATCACCTTGTCGGGATTCCTCGATTTGATCGAGGCCGACGGTACCCTCGAGTCTCTCGTCGCCGAGGGCCGTCAATCAACCGGCATCTTCAACCTCAAGAACCAAACCGGCACGGTCCTCTTCTCATACGACCTCTCCGCGGCGATCAACCGCCAATTCGACTTTTCCACAAAGATGTCCCGCTACGCCTGGCTGCGTTCGCCCACCGCAGAGGCCACCCTCGCACAGTCCGTCGAGCGTTACCGCAACTTCTTCCACCTCATCGGCGCCCAACCCGGCACGGTGATGGTCCCGACCCTGGACATCGACCTGGTCTGGCACACGCACCAGCTCGCGCCGCTGCGGTACCGCGCCTACTCCAAAAAGATGGCCGGCCGCCTCATCGACCACGACGACGAGATCAGCGCCGACAGGCTACAGGAGCTGTCGACGGACATGCAGGGTCTTTGGCGTGAGGAGTTTGGCACAGAGTACCATGCCTGTCTCTGCTGGACTTGCGAAGCGGGCAGGGCTCATGTTAGTGTCGACGCTGTTGAGAGCAGGCTACGTGATGAGGAGAGGCAACGCGAGCTGCTTCCCCTGGCGGACCTTGCGTTCCCCCGCTGCGCGGACTGCGGCAACCATCCCACATCGTGCTGTCCCCCGAGTGACGGTGCTGAGTGCGGAAGCGGTTGCGGCGGAGGGTGCGGTGGTGGTTGTGGAGGCGGCTGTGGTAGCTGCGGTGCCATGAAATAAGTCGGAAGAGTCTTTAAGCACACAAACAGGATGTTTCAAGAGGCAAAATAAGCAAAAAGATATCACACTGCCTCGTGCCTGAATCGAACAGGCGATCTCCTCATTACTAGTGAGGCGCTGTACCACTAAGCCAACGAGGCATTTGATGCTTGTTGAATGGCCGGGTGAAATCTGTCAACTTGAGGCGTTCCGAAGCGAGGTTTTGTGGGTGAAGGGGTTGATGTTGACCCACATCATGTCTCTGCCTCCGTGCGTCTGCCGAACAACCCATGTTTAATCCACGTTTAATGTTCCTTTCTTTTTTCCCGCTGAAAATGGGCAGCCGCGGAAACACCTGACTCGTTTTCGCATTACGGGAACGCCAAATTGAAAACCCATGGGATGCCCTTGCCAGAGGGCCAGCCTTCCAAGACTTTTCACTCTCTTTGAGTTTTTCTAGCGACATTCGATCTCCGTTTCATCAACATAGCAATGCCCACCGGCCAATAGGGGCCCAAAGAATGGTCAGCGGACGGCGCGGCGAGTGCTGCAAAGCTCCGAGAAAAAGGGATGAACTCCGTGTTAGCATAAGTAATTATAGATGAGAGGTGGGATCGTGGGTGCCGCTAGGCGTGGTCTGCGCAGGACAACCCGGCTACCCGGCCTCCTCGGGGACCACGTAAGGCGCGGCAGTGGGGCCGGCCCTATCGGGCTCACCGTTTTCTCGGTCCCACCCGGTGGCCGATGCCTCGGATGTTCTTCTTCAGCCCCTTTGCCCCCCTTCCGCCAAGGACTGATATATCCTCTTTTGTTGTGGGCGGCCTTAGATCGTTCGATATGTTGATGAAGCAACAAGTCTTATAAAATCTTTATTGCGGCCTCGACCAACGACAGTCCCTCCTTTTCGGATTACCGCTTACACCAAGTACATTACCTTCGTTCATCACCAGGCACAGTAAGCCACCACTCTCGTTGACGTGTTTTACACACCATACACACTCTTTTCTCCCGACCCTCCTATCCCCCCAAACCGCTGAAAACATGCGTGCCTCAGTCATGGTCGCCGCCGCAGCCTGCGCCGCTTCAACCAGCGCCTTCGCGGTCCCCCGCGACGAGGACCCCAACTTCGCCTGGCAGGCCCCCGACGCGACGGCCAAGCGCTCGCCGTGCCCCATGCTCAACTCCCTCGCCAACCACGGCTACCTCCCGCGCGACGGCAACGCCATCAGCATGGACAACCTCATCTCCGGCCTCGGCAAGGCCCTCAACTTCAACGAGTCTCTCGTCCGCACCCTCGGCACGCCCGCCTTCGCCACCTCCACCACCGGCGACGCAAACACCTTCAACCTCGACGACATCGCCAAGCACAACGTCATCGAGCACGACGGCAGCCTGTCGCGCGCCGACTTCGCCGTCACGGGCGACGCAAAGACCTTCAACCAGTCCGTCTTTGACGAGACGTACGGATACCTGACCGAGGGCGCGGCCGCGACGGAGGAGAAGGTCAATGTGGCGACGATGGCGACGGCGCGCAGCAAGAGAATCGCGACGGCCCAGGCGACGAACCCGACTTTCAACTTGACCAGCAGCCAGGTCACCGTCTCGTTGGGAGAGTCTGCGGTTATCCTTGGTACATTGGGTGGAAGCTTCTCCGAGCCTGCTGCGCCGTTGGAGTGGATGAAGATTGTCTTTGAGGAGGAGCGTCTGCCGTTCAAGGAGGGCTTCAACACCAGCACCGAGGTTATTACCACCGCTCAGGTCCTGGGGCTGTCGCAGCTTATCGCTACCAGCAGCACCTAAGTTGGCGGAGGCTACGTTGGGTTCTTTGATGTGTAGATGAATAAAGAAAAAGAAAGTTTACGGCAATTCTTCGTCATTCCAATTGTTGACCTTCAATGCATAGGTGACGGTGCAAATTAAACACTTGAGACAGGCTTTGGTTCCATAATTATTGGGTTGCTCGACGGGGTAGGGTAGTAGTCATGGGAAGCTTGGCCCTGCAACTCCAGAATAAGCATGCGTTTGGAAAGAGGATACAGATGATTTGGGCTAATTAAAGTATTGTATCCCTGTCGCTGGAGATCAGCGAAGGATCACATCGTAAGGTGTGTAAATAATGGACTTCAATCGGATGCAAATCGTACTTTGCTAAGCTATACTTTGCTAACTCACTCCTCAACCCAACCTTGAAAGCAATGTCATCTTGTCATGTGCTCAAATTCCAAATTACCTATGCTCCATGAATTCCTCCCTGCAGTCTCGCTCTCACGGCCCCAGCTTGATGGTTCCAACGGCGTCAACGCCCAGCCATACAGGTCCCGCCCGTATGCAGCCACAACAGGCGTTGCTTTCGCGTAGCCTTGAGGTACCTTCCACAACCCTTCTACAAACTTCGATCCATAGCGACTTCTGAGGCTTGAACCTAAACCATATCCCAAACACCTTCCGATTCGTAGCCCTCGAATCCACTGTCAGGGGCAGAGATTTCGCCGCCCTTAGTCGGCTCATCAATGTCCATGGCGTCGAGGTCCTCATCGTATGTCTGGTTGACAAGCGTCTCTGAAGGTGACAAGGGTGTCATGGGCGCCGGGGCTTGTGCCATGCTCGAATTGTGGGGGAAATTCGAGTTGTTGACGGCGTGTCTTTGATCCCCAAGGTAACGCTCAGACCGAAGCTGGGCGTTCTGCTCTTCCAGGTCCTGTTTCTCTTGGATAAGGGCCACGATGAAGGCGTCCTTGGTGGCGTTTCTGCGCTTGAGCTTGTCATTCTCTGTCTGAAGCTTGATGATTTGCTCCTGGTCGACCTCTTTGAGCTGCGCCAAGTGGTGGTTCTCGGTAGACAAATGACAAACCTCAGCCTGGAGCTGACATATCTCGATTTGGTCGATCTCGTTCATGTTGGCGGAAAAAGAAGGTCGATCGAGGGTGCTCATGATGGAGAATGGGCTAGAAGGAGGCGAAGATAAAAGGAGGACCAGCCGCCTTGATTGTTGACAAAGGTTGAGGGAAGGCTTTGAAGCCCGAGAATGGGTTGTGGATGTGATGCTTTAGTACTGTTCTTTTCGTAAGAAGATGGAAGAGAGGTTATCTTTTATAGTAGAAAAGGGGGTGGTGATGGAGCACTGATTTCACACGACAGACTGGAAGCGGGAGCGTGGTTCGCCTTCCTCGTTCAAAAAGCCCCAACTGGTCGCCATGATTCCTAGGAGAAGAAGGTGGAAAGGTAAAGAACACTCACTGTTTCTCGTCTTCAAGCAGCGGGCACGACTGCATAAGGTGATTTTCCTCATCTGCATGAGGTTGGGAATTCTGATGAATCTCAAAGTCAGCGGAACATATTTCGAACTAAAGTTGTTTCAGTTGTAGGTGTTTTAGGTCGAAAACTCTTGTGTAGTCTGCTTCACAGGCTCTGAGCTGTGAGTGGTCGTGAGGGGGAGGGACAGAGTAGCAGAGGTAGACGACTTCGACAACCTTAAGTATACTCCAGGACTTGGTAAGAGCGGCGATTCGGCGCTCCTCCCCTCTTATCCACGTTCAGATGACAAGAAGGGCGGTGAGGTTCCGGGAGTCACGTGGAGCGAGTGGTGCCCATGTTGATATGGGATGAGAAATTACCTGGAGACGTTGGAAAAAGGAAGGTGGAAGAACTCGGGCCTACCTGGGGTTTAGTCATTGTTGAAAACGTTGAATGATGAATGAAAATAGTTTTGGTGAGGTGGAAACCTCATCGGTAGGGCAGCCTATATTTACACCCAAAAGAGAACACTTGTTCTTCATCGAAAAACCATTTGAATCGGAAATCAAAAACCAGTTACTGGAAACAGGAACGAAATATTTGAAAACTAGAATCGGATTCTAGATGTGCATGCACCTAGGCGCTGCACCAACTGCGCCTCTAAGCTTGGCATGATCCATGAAAGGGCGTGTAAGGTAGGTAGGAATGGAACATGATCCGGGTTGTGTCTGGCCTCAGCAAAGGATCGACAGAACTTCGATCAAAAGTCAATCAGAAATCAATGACTTGACTTTATTGTAATGTGTGCTCTGGCAGAACTATGACGATGTACAAGTATCTGGCGGCATTTGGCTAGGGGAAAACTTGGTTTCCTTCTCATCAACATGGCGTGCGAAAAAGACGGGGAAGAGATTGACCAGCGCTGTTTGTGAGTGATAACTAAGATGGCATGAGGAGAAGAAAAGGCAGAGGAGGAAGGGGGGGGGGGGGGGCGAAAGGTAGAGGGAAAGAAAGACAGCGAAAAAGCACAGAGAACTGGAATCGGAATTCAGATAGCTTCTCACAAGTCTGAGATTGAGAATTTGCCAGCCGCGGCTAACGTTTGTTGGTGACTCGGTCTGTGTTCGTTCAAGGCCTGTTGGAGCCCGACAGGGATCTGACAAACATCCAATGGCTAAACACATTGCATGGCTGTCTCAAAAAGTACGTGGTATCTGGCTAAAGACTGATAACTGTAAGGGATGGCCGCCCTAACTAGCTGCTACTCAAACGTGCTACAGCCTCCTTTTCAGGATTGTATAACGTAGAACTTCTAAATCCATCAAAGTTAAGCTGTCTAACAGTCTAACAGTGAGAACAATACACCAATGAAAGGCGATCAGCGCATACAACAACACTATAGTCGATAGGGTCCAAAATCCTTATATCCAATGCCTTTAACAAAGGTCTGCAACCATGGGCCCTGGGTCGTCGTTTCCACCAGCTCCAAAAAGAGTTCAGAGTGCGCCGCTCCATCAATCTTGAAAGCTGCCGAGCCATCCGCCTTCCGTTCATCAACATAATAAAATCTGCAAACTCTTAGTCACGTCGACACAGACAGTAAAGCAAGGTGGTGAGGGCATACTTGAATCCCTTCTCTCTGTATTCAGCGGCAGCAGCCATCATCATGTGCGCAGACGCCGACTTGCCAGCGCCTGACTCCAGGAACTGCGGGAGGGCTGTAACGTTAAGGATATTCCCCGTAAAGAAGAATGTTCTCGGAGCATCGACAGGCAGATCCGCGAAGCCGAGGACGGCCTGTTGGGCTGCGACAAAGACACTGGTGTTGTTGACGGTCATGTCTCGTTGGAAAGAATCTAACGATATAGCAAAGGGGTCGCCTGGGGGAGAGAACGTAGCGGCGCCGGCTGTGAAACCTTAGCAGAGCATTCAGCTAGAGTCCTTTGGTGCTAAGACGTACCGTTGTAGATGACTACGCTTGGGATCCCCAGCTCTTTTTTGACCTTTTCAAAGGCTCTGACAACATCCTCAGGGTGGGCGAAGTCGCTTTTGATGTTGATTTGCTCGTCTGTGCTATCTGCCTCGTCTAGCGACCGGGCTGCGATGGCAACCTTGTAGCCCTTTGAGGCAAAGGCCTTGGCAGCTGGTATGCCTACCTTGGGCCCCGCGCCGAGGATAAGAACGACAGGAGACTCTTCCGGCATGATTGGAAATATGAGAGAGAAGTCTGACGGTGTGCAGTAAAATGAGGAAGCAAGAAAGCAGGACGCCTGTGTCTATTGTATATATGCTCATCTTCTAATTGAGACAAAGATCGGGACGGGCGATTGAATTGCGCAATTGGTAATCGTTCAAGTGATTGAAGGCGGCGAGGCTTCTGCTGGTAGCGTTTGTAAGCATGCAGCATTCGCTGCTTTGGATTTTTGCTGCTTACAGCGATTTACTCCTAGGCCTCTTAGGGATGCAAGCCAGTCGCGGATCGACCAGTCAGATTCAGGAATCCATTGTATAATCACGGACCCGGACCCTTTGGAGGGTCCGAACTTGCATGCATCATGTCCAATCCCGTTCGTCACCAATAGCAGTCCTGTCTTCGAGTCCTCCGCTCCGGCTGACTTTCTTGGCTTGTAGTTGTGTAAGCTTGGATGTTTGCTACGCATTGACTCCTTGCGTACATTCGGTTGAGATAAACCTCCCGTGTAGCATTGTCAACATTTGCCAACTTGCAAGCCCGCACTTGATGAGTATTGTATACTTTCAAAAGAAATAGCAGTCGATTTCATCAATATACTTTGGACTGTTGGGGAGAAGTCGGTGATGCATATAAAACTAGATCAGAAGCACGTCCACCTTGTGCTTTGTTATCCATCAACCACCACCTGAAGCAATTCGCAAGCTTTCACCCTACAATCCACTCTTAGATAACCCGATACACCTCAATCAAAATGGCGGACATGAAGAAGATCAAAGTTTTGGGAGTCCATGGCCCAAACGCTGGGAAGGTCATTGTCCTTTGCGAGGAGCTCGGAATCCCATATGAGACGGAAATCATCCCCCTCAACGACGTCAAGAACCCCAAGTACGTTGCCATCAACCCGAACGGCCGGCTGCCGTCCATACAGGATCCGAACACAGACCTGACACTGTGGGAGTCGGGCGCAATCATCGAGTACTTAACCGACACATACGACAAGGCTCACAAGCTCAGCTTCGAGCCGGGCACAGCTGCGGCCTACCACGCTCGTCAGTGGCTCTTCTACCAGACCACCGGCCAGGGACCGTACTATGGGCAGGCGATGTGGTTTATCATCTATCAGCCACTTCCCGAGGCGCGCGAGCGCTATGTCAAGGAGGTTAACCGCGTGACCGGTGTTCTGGAGGGGCACCTGGCAAAGCAGACCCCTGACGCGGACGGCAACTCTTGGTTCTTGGGCGGGCGGATCTCGTACGTGGATATCGCCTTCTTTACGTGGCAGCACACGGCCTCGCCGCGAATCCCGGACGTCGAGTTCAATCAGGATAAGTTCCCGCACGTCAAGAAGTGGTACGACAACATGCTTGCGCGC